CCCTTGCAGAGAAGTCCAGGGACTCTGAGCTTGGGAGGGTCACAGGATTCTTGTGGGAAGCAACTGTCCTATCTGGGCCTCAAGGACACTTAGGGAGAAATGTCCAGTCTCCTTAAAGGGCCCCCATTGCTCCCCTCCCCCTCCCCAAACAGCTCCGTTTCCATGTGGTGTCTGGGTTAATTAATATGGATGTGTAACTGCGCTGCAGCAATCGATAAACCCTGCTGTGGGCAGATCCCAGCCTCAAAATCCAATTACTCTAAAAACCTCCAAAAATGAATAAAGTGACCAGTAGTGCCTACTCCTAAAAATGGGGGAAGGGAGATTCTTCTTGGCCCTGTCTTCTCAGGTTGGCCTGGTAGATTCCAGGCTGTGAGGCATATATTCGAGGAGAGCAGTCCCGGGAAAGCACTGGAATTGGGGGTGTGTGCTGAGCACTCTCTGCCTTTTCCTTTGCTTCAAAACCTTGGCTTCTCTCCCAGCATCCAGATCCCAGGGATAAAAGAAGCAGACGGGAAGGAAACTGGCCATTGGTTCTCCAGTTCTGCCCTCTCACAGCTAGGGAAGGGTTAAGTGTCCCTGCTGCAGTTATGGAGAGGAAGCTGATGAAATATGGGCACTTGGAACTCCAGGCTAGGCCGGCTTTCCTGTTTACACTTCTTTATACTTCCTCCCATCCCTGTGGCCACAGAGAAACAAAACAAAACAAACAATCAAATAAAACAAAACAAAATCAAATTGTTCTCCTAGTGGTGGCCAAGCTGGGCTCTGCCCCTAGGGTAGATGAGGGTGTTGGCTTGGCTTGTGGTTCAGAGGTTGAGGCCTAGACATGTGGGGGGGAGAGGAAGCCACAGGAGAGAAGAGATCTGGGGGCAGCGTAAAGCAGCATATTCAGAGAGGAAATGGGGGGGGGGAGAAGAGAGGAAGAAGAATGAGGAAAGAGAGGGAAAAGAGGAAAAAAGGGAGAGGAAGCAGGGAAGCACAGGTCCTGAGACAGAAACCCTTCCATGTTCTTCTTCTTCCCCAACTTGCCCTGGCTGCAGTCCAGAGCGATTATCCGAGAAAGCCAGGCTAGGGAGAAGAGGAAAATCACTAGGACTTTTTCTTTGATATCTGCTTAGAGTCATAGGAGACCTTCCAAGGTGGTTATTTCTGAAGGAAAAGTAGGCACTTGTGCTACTGGGACTGTTCTTTGCCATTTTGAAAACTTGATTCAAATATGTTCCATAGATGTCTCAAGGCTGTCAGCCTCGAACATTCTATCAGTTTGCAAAACTGATGTGCAAAGTGCAGGGAGGACATTTGTCAGGGACAAACCTGTTTCTCTGGAGTTTTAGGGCCCTAGGAAAGATATAGAAAGAGATAGAAGGAGCCCAGAACAAACTAGGAGAAAGGATTCTCTTGGAATCCCCAGGGTAGATGCTATGGTTTCATGTCTCCTTTGCACTTCTTTCCACTGCTTTGAAGCCTTCAGAAGCCAAACCTCCAAAGCGGATTCATATTTTAAGTGCTGCTGGCACCCTTTGATCCTTTGGGAGTGTCCTTTACAAGGGGTATAAATGTCCATCGCTCTTAGGGAGATGCCTGGGTGAGGATCCCAAGCCCTTGGTCTCTTTTCTCTGTTCTCTGTTCTTAAAGCTCATTGAGGGTCACCTATAAGTTGGATGTGGGCAAGGAATGGTGAGCTAAAAAAAAGGCAAGAAAAAAAAAGACAGAGAAGAGCAAGGGGCAGAGTGAGGAGACGGAGAGAGCATCGGTGCCCCCTTCATGGGAATCAGGGAAGCCCAGTGGCCCTTCTTTGTCAGAGGTCAGAAGCCCCTCAAAATGCCAAGTCCTAGATGAGGGATTATCCACCAGAGTTGGTGAGCCAAGAGACAGTGAGCTAGAAAGTAGGGCCACCAGAATCATGGGCCCCAGAGATCTTAATTAAGAGGGTGGGGGGATGGCATCCATTTGGTCCAAAAGAGGATCTTAGCTTTTAGAAGAAGGGTGACTTTTCCTTAGAAAACAAGGTTCCCATGGAGGGGGCAGATTTGGAAGTCCCTCTGGTTTGCCGTGCTACAAGACAAAGAGACCTTTCAGAGTCCAAAGGGGAACGAAGAGGAAAGAGAAAGTCTCTTTGAGGACCTATGTTCCTGGGCATAGTGACAGGCTAGTTAGACCTACCTATGTCCTCCAGACCCAGACGGAAGCTCTATTCTTTCACACCCTGGTCAGAAATTAGGCTTGGAACTAAAAGCTGTGAACCCCCCTCTGTCTGCTTCTCACTTTGACTCAAGCTCCTTTTTAGAAACCAGCAAAAGAAATAAAATTGAGACCAACAAACTGAAGTTGGGTGTGAAAGCACTGAGCTACCTACCTCGCCTAGACAACCCTGAAGGAACCATAGGGAGTGCAGGGGGATGATTTTTATGAGGGTCAGACACCCCAAACCCAGAGAGCATCCAAAGATAAGGTGGGCAACAGCAGCCTTTCCCTGGTCCTTCCTCTCAAACACACCCAGGTAAAAGTGCCTGCCAGTACATCTCAGACAAACAAATCTCGTATTTCTTTCCTGGGGGTTAAGGGAAAATCGACCTGAAGGTAGCCAGCAGAGAAACACCCCTCCATCACACCCAAGCAGTTTATTCCAGCAATTTACACCCCCTCATTCTTAGCTCCTCATCTCAGATATTGAAGGAACATGGATCCCACATGACCCCCTTTCTCCACAGAGTCCGCAGCTCCCGTGAATAACAGCAGATACCTCCTCCCATTGAAGCTTTAAAGAACCCAGCTCCCCACTTTAGACACCCATTTCTCAGAACTGTTCAGTTTCCCCTGTATCATCCTACAGCCCTACTGAAAACAAAATTTTCTTCTCCCATTCCAAGCCCCCAAACTGCAAGGTAAGAAAGCGAAAGCTGGAAGCGACTTACTGTGGAGTGCTGGGCCTGGGCTCTGGCCACTGCCTTCCTGGGCTCTCCCGACTGTTCTAAACTGGAAGAGCGCTCACCTACCTCTGCCCCCTTCCCCACCACAGTGAGCAGTTAAAGTGTCACTTAACATTCTGGAGAATGTGAAATATACCGCGCGGTGTCAACTCCCCAAAACCATAAAACTAACTTTATGGACCTCACGTGACTTTCTCGAGCCAGTGAGGGGTATCTGTCTGACTTCTCGGCGATTTTTACGATCTAACTTCGAGATAAAACCCCTATCCATTTGACATCTAAATGTCATAGCGACTTTTGGGATAGTTTGCTTTCGGCAAAGGGGGACAAAGTCATGGGGTGAGAGGGAAGGAGGGCCCAAAACACCCTCCAAGACCCTCACCATCTCCTCACCGGCCCCCCTTCCCCCAGGTCCTGTAAGAAGTTGGGCCCAGCTGGAAGGGATTGCCTGGGTAAGTGTCCACACTTAACTCTTATGCTCAGGGTGGAGGCCGAACTGAACGGAGGAAGACTGGGCCCTGGTTCTGAACCAGGCTGGAGGGGAAACCAGGGGTCTTTCAGGAGGAACCCTAACCAAGAGGGGAAGGTCAGTCGGGACCCCTGGAGAGAAGGACCCCTTGAAAAGCGCAGAGAAGGCCAAGCATTGTCAGGAAACCTTTGAAAATGAGCTGTTTTGTTTTGTTTTGTTTCCCTTACTGGGTAGCAGAGCTGAATTGGGATTTGGAGCAGGAGACAGGGCATCTGGGCAGGCCTCTGCCAGTCTCAAAAGACCAGGAGCCTTACTGTTCAGGACTTTGACCCAAATAACTCTTCCTGGTGCATTTTTTCAGAGGCTTTTCTGCTGGAGGGAAGTCAGGATGGAGTTCAGCTAAGGCCCATATGAAGTTCCTGGGCATCTCAATGCCCCAGGCATGAAGGCCTGTCTCCTGGCCCAAGTCAGGGACCTAGGTGGCTTCGAGGGGTTTCTAGTGGATATCCTGCTTGCTCTTCCCTGTGCCCTAGATTTATGGAAAATGGTCTCAGGGCGGTTTGTGCCTAACGGTGAGAGAGGCAGAGCCTCTAAGAAAAGACAAGTAGAAGGGCAATGGAGTGGGGGAAACATTTATTTGATTTGAGGGAAAGCTACAAACATACCAAAAGCTAATCACCGAGACAGGCTTGGCAAAGACAGATTTCACAGGTAGCACAGCATCCACTGGCCCACTACAAATGGTCTCGGAAGCGAAATGGGTAAGGGAGAAAGTCATTGACCTGACCCAGACTATCCCCATATTTACAAGCTTTGGGCCTTCTAGTCAGACCCACAGGTTCACAGAGAAAATCACAAGACACTTTACACTGAGGATTATTTCTGACTCCAGACACTCCCAGACCAGGCCTGTGGGGCCTACCAGGCAGCAGGCGGTTAACTCTCACCCTTTTCCTCCCCTTTTCTCAACATCCACACTTTGGTCCTTCCCTGACCCCAGCAACAAGCCACTGGGAGACCTAGGCCTGGAGAGTGGGAGCTGAGGAAGGATGAGGTGGGTGAAAAGAGACACAATCATAGACTTCATTTCTCAGGCCAGCTCAGCTGGGCCTAGCACTATCCAACCTCAACTGCTGCCCCTTATGGAAGTTTCCAGCTGAAACTCAAAATGCAGCCACCATCCTTTTATAAATAAGTTAGAACACAGACAGAGAGGGCAAGTCACATTAAACATGCGAATTTCCTTTTCTTTTCTTTTTCCCTGGGGAAAGGGGTGCACCCACAGACACGAGGACATTCAGAAACACTGGCAATTGGGGGCGAGCCGAGGGAAGTGGGGAGCATGGAGGGGAAATAATAATAATTATTATTAACAATAATAACAAGATAACCAGTCCAGGAGAGAGGGAGCCATGGGAAGACCTAAGACCAAACGAAAAACTGTAACACAAGGCTGGGGCGAGACAGGCTCGTGGGAACAGGTCCCCAGCGGGCAGCGGCAATGCAGGGAGGATCGGAAGGGTCGGGCTGGGGGTGGTGCCGGCTCTTGGGCCGCCCAGGGCTCCTCCGGATGGGCTCATGGTTGGAAGGCGCTGCCGGCTGTAGCCAGGCTCATACTTTTCAGTTTGTTGTCTTTCTTCCACTTCATGCGGCGGTTCTGGAACCAGATTTTGATCTGACGCTCGGACAGGCAGAGCGCGTGGGCGATCTCGATGCGTCGCCGCCTGGTCAGGTAGCGGTTGAAGTGGAATTCCTTTTCCAGCTCCAGGGTCTGGTAGCGAGTATACGCTGTCCGGGCCCTTTTTCCGTCTGGCCCAGTCATATCTAGAGCAGTTAGAGAAGAGCCCAGAGGCAACGTTATTCCGGTTAAAGGAGGGGGCACTGAGTGGGAGGGGGCGGGGAGCAGGACCCAGGCTTCCCCAGCACCCAGCTCGAGGCAGCTCCAATCCTCCTCACTCCAGGTGCCCGCATCCAGCCTGTATTTCTTCATCTCCCTTCTCCAGCAGCCCCCACTTCTGGTGATGGTGAAAGCTACCGGCTTTGTCTCTTGCTCCTTCCCAGTGCCTCACCCTAGGCTGGTTCAGGCGGGCCTTTAGCCCCGAAAGAGAGGAGAACCGCTTCACTTTAGCTCTAGAAAGCTCCGTTTACAGGTTTACAGCCCATTCCTCCTTTGCTACCAGCAGTCTCGAAATTTCGGTAATAAACAGGACCCTTCCCCACAATACACAAATCTCATCTTTCACCCTAAAGCCGGTGACTGGCTGGGTAAATAAAACCCAAGCTGAGCGTGGCAACAAATTGTTTTTTAAAATGCCCACCCTCAGCAAAAGACCCTGTTTGGCTCTCTCTATGGAGCTGTGGGGACATTTTCGGACACTTCTCCCTCTTGGGGGGGTGGATCTATATTTGAGGTAAAGTCAAGCTGTCCTCAAACCCCCCCACCCCCAACACAGGGCAGGGATGCGGTGAGGACAAAAAAAAAAAAGAGAGAGAGATGGAGAATTACCGTGGCTGATGTGAAGCTTCCTCATCCAGGGAAATATCTGTGGAGTCTGCCCCTCGGGCGCGGCTGTAGAGGTGGCCATGGGCTCTGGCTGTGCCCGAGCCAGGCTCGGGCTGCTTAGCTGGCTTGCGGTTTCCTCGGGCTCGGAGGACGCGCTGGCCTCGTCTATTTCGGTGAAATTGGCGCTGGAGCTGGCTGGGGTCGCCTGGTCGGAAGGGGACGAAGCAGCGGGCTTGGCGCCGTGGCTGTCGCCGTTGGTGCAGGGCAGGGACTCGGGCGAGGACAGGGAGCAGCTGGACGTCGCCTGCCTGAAGCGGGGCTCCTGGGCTGACGCGGGGAAGGCGCGCGAGCTCTCGCCCACCGCCCCAAAGTGGCTGGAGGAGGCCGAGGAGCGGTTGACGCTGAGATCCATCCCATTGTAATTGTAGCCGTAAGAGCCGGTGTGCATGGCAGCGGGATCCCTGTAAGAGCCGCTCAGAGAGCTGCCACTGCCATAATTTAGCAACTGATAGTCCGGGCCATTTGGATAACGCCCCGAGAAGGAGTTTACAAAGTACGAGCTCATTTGGGTGATTTTGGAGGGCTTGATTTGTGGATCGTGGTCGTTATAACCCTGTGCTTCACGATTTATGATGTATTAATGAATTATAGCGATGCACTGTACTTCGTTTTGCTATGTATGCGGCCAAATATGGGGGGGTTGGAAGGGGGGTGGGGGGGCGTTAGGGAATCACGTGCTTTTGTTGACCAGTCGTAAATTCTCGCTGATGACCTCAAGAGGTAATTCATGCTCTATGGTTACAAATAATGACGATCCGAGAATCGTTAGGGCCGATTCAATGCGAGCCTCAGAGAGGGGGGAGAAAGAGAGAAGGGGGGAGAAACAGGGAGAAGGTTGGCGTTGGCCTCTGAGCAGAGCGCGCCACCTCCCGGCGATTGATGGGAGCGCGGGCCGCAGGCCGCCATGGCGGCGTCCGCAGCCTCCCAGCTGACTCTGCAACCGTCAAGCAAGAAAGAAATCCGGCCCCGCGGCTCACCCACAGGGTTGAACCTTTAGGAAGATAGGTTTGAGTCTTTTGCCCACTTTGTTAGAGTGCGGTTATTTCCTCTATTTATGTCCTTCTCTCTGACATTATTATTATCACCATTTATTATTATTATTTTTAACTCTGGATAGTATAACTAAGGATTTAATTGTCTGACCTTCCCTCCTTAGGCTTAGCCAGTGCCCAAGTTGGTGAGAAATTGGGGGAAGGGTTAGAAGTTGTGTGTGAAAAACAATTATTGCGAGTTATCTCCCATTAGCTCAGCCAGGCCTCCTTCCTGGCGAGGCTTCAGTGGCAGGTCCACAGCACCAGAGAGTCGCAGGGCTGGACTGCAGGCTGTAAGAGGCAGGGGAGCTCTTCGTTGTCCTGGGCCCCTGGGAAGTTTGAAATTCTCCTTTTGACCTCTCATCCTAGGCCAAGGAACCAAGCTGGACAGGGATCCTAGAAGAGGAGCTCAGCCGGCGATAGGCAGCCTTAAGCGGCAAAGCCTAGAGCAGCCACCGCCCAGGCGGATTCAGATTTGGGTGGCAACTCATGTGTGAGAGTTTGGGGTGAAAACAGAATCCCTTAACAATCTCGCCAGATGCCAGCTATCGCATTCGGAGGACAGGTCCGAAGCCTTGTGTTGCTGGTGGTTAGCAGTTGGAGAATTTGAATTTGCACATCCGCCTTACGCCTTACAGCCTTCCCGGGAAGATGTTCGGGAGACCGGCGGCCCCTTGCTGAGCCCGCTGGGCAGCCAAAGATCTCCGCAGCTGGGCCCCTTCTGCCATTCAGCTATTTTCTTTAAAAATAATTTTTTAAAAAAAGGAGAGAGGGAGGAGGAAGAAAAGAAAACGGTTTCTGAAGCCTGTGACTTGGGTGAGGATGAGAGCAGAGAGAGGATAAGCCATTTTGGGTGGATAAGATGAGACCAAATGCCCCATCACCTGGCCCCCTGTCCTCAGGTCTCCGAAGAGCCAGACAGAGTCCGGTCCTTGTGGCCTCCTGCTCCCGGGTTCTCATTCTCTTCCTTGCCACCGAGCTCCTACTTAACACGGGAAGGGGCACCCTGGAGCCTGTAGACGAAGTGTGGAGAGATGCCCAGTAGCCTCATTTTTCAGTCTCTGGAGCAATAGGCCGAGGGAGCCGAGGGCCAAGGCCGGCAGAGACAGCCATGTGGGCCGGCCAAAGGCCAGGGCCCTTGGCTCGCAGAGGACCGAAAACCGCTCTAAAGGCAAAGGCGCCCAGGCCTGCCCAGCTCTGTGTCTCTAGGGCTCCGGACTAGGCCTCAAGTGACACAGCTCACAACCCAGGGCAAGCTTAGAGAACAAGAGGGAAAGGGCTTCTCTCCATCCCTCAAGTCTGAATGGGAGAGGCAATTGTGAATTTAGCACAAGCGAAGCACCACCGACGCTGGGGCCAGGGAGGACCCGAGCCTCTGCTTTTGACCCCCGCTTTTATCTCAACAGTAACTCCGAATTGAGTCTGGCAGCTGGAAAGGCCCTGAGGCGGGCCATGGTTCTTGCCTTTGCTGTTCAGGCTCAGGGGTGACAGGGTGGCTGGGGCTATGGAGGGAGAAAAATGGCAGGGAAGGATTGGATGTGACTGAGCTGCGAGTTTTCACATCTTTATTATTATTATTATTATCATCATCATAATCATTATTAATAATATTAATATTATTACCGAAGTATTTCACGTCCAGAGCTAAAACAAGACTACAAACACAACACATAGAAAATTAATAAAATAGAACTTTGTTTCTTCTGAGGCTCCTCTTCTTACTTCTAGGTAGTATGTGCTCCTTCCAGTGGCTTTCGGGAGGGGGTAGGAGAGACAAGTCTGGGGTAAGGGAGTTTTTCAAGTCCCTGCTGAGGGACAGCGAATCTACCATTGAACCGTGCACGGGGGACATGGACGAAATGAGACTCGACAAGGACAAGAGCATTCTGCTCTGCTTCCAGGAGACATCAAGTGAGTCCGATTCTCAGTTCTCACCAGGGAGCCTGATGAGGCCAAGGTGGGTTCTTCGGGGAGGGAGGAGGCCCTGGGGGGCTGGGTAGGCAGCCTCCAAGCGCCCAGGAAGAGCTCTGCGGGCGGGGACGTCCTGGAGAGCGCTGGGCCCCGCCAGTCATGCGCTGGAGAGCAAGTCCCCAGACTCCCCAGACCGCAGAGCCTTCTGGGGCTTTCGTGTGCCCTCGGTTCCCCCACAGGCCTCTCCCTTCGTGTCCCCCCTCCCTTTGCAGCACCTTCACTCGGCTGGTTTTTCTTCCTCCTCCTCCGCACTGAGCTGAGACGCGCTGAGCAGTTTGCTCTCCTTTTTCCACTTCATGCGCCGGTTCTGAAACCAGATCTTGATCTGCCGCTCGGTCAGGCACAGGGCGTGCGCGATCTCGATGCGCCGCCGCCGGGTCAGGTAGCGATTGTAGTGAAACTCCTTCTCCAGTTCCAGGGTCTGGTAGCGAGTGTATGTCTGGCGGCCTCGCCTACCGCTGGGCCCAAAAGAGGAACCTGTTACACAGAGAGGAGAAACTGAGGCCTGGGGTCACCACACCAAGCCCACAGCCCCCTCCCCCACTCAGCCCTCAAACGTAATGCTAGCTGGTCCTCCTTCCCTTCTCCCATTCCCTGGTCCCCCTTTCCCACTCCTCCAGCGCCCCCTCCAGATTCCCTCCTGGACTCCTAGGCCTGTGCTTTCTTTCTGTCTAGACTTTTGGTGGGGGAGGGGAGGGTCAGTTGGACTCCCACCTGAGCTTAGGGGGAGGGGCTGCCCAGGTGTGTCTCCTACTAGCTGCATCTTTCCTCGCCTTTCCTTTCTGTCCATCCAGCTCTCCCTCCTACCCTACTCGATGATAGATTCTGGCCCTTAATCCATACTGACATGGATCGATCCATAGTCCGCATTAACGACTCCTCACTTTCGTGTCCGGCTAATGGACATCAGTTGGGACTTGAAACCGACAAATAATCCAACCTGAGACCCAGGCGCCGGTTTGTCCCTCTCCCCCTCCCTCTCTCCTCTTAGTCCTCCTTCCCCAGATTACCACCCCTTTCCGGTGTCTGATCGCTCCCCAGTCTCTACCACCACCTCCAGTCCCAGAGAAATACAGTCCAGGACCCAGGAAGCTTGCCCTTGCCGGCGGTGTCATCCACCCCTCCCCATGACACACTCTTGTTTTTAATGGAGTGGTCTTTGGGTGGGGGGACCCGGGCTGATCCAGATAGGAGATGGGGAGGACACTGTGAAAAGCAAAACCAGAGACTGAGTCCCCAGTCCTCTTCCTGATCACCAATCCTGGCTCTGGCCTAACTCTCTCGGTGAGCCCACTTACTCCCCCTGCCTTACTGTGCAGCTGGGACTTTGCAAACTTTGCAACTTCTGCGGGCAAGAAAACTGATCTGGAGGCAGGGACCCAATCTTGCCCTATCTCCTGAGATGCCCACCTAGTTCCCAGAGGGAGAATGGGGTGGGGTGGGAGAGGGGAACTCTAGCTCTGCCTTCTTGCAAGGGGGCCCGCGGGACAGCGGGAAGTCTCACTCACTGTTGCACGAATTCATGCGTTGCATCCACGGGTAGACAGGCGTGGAGCACTTCTGCTCCTCGGTTTCTCCGAACACGCTCTTGTCCTGTGCGCAGTCGGACTTCCGCGGCTCGGGATGGAACGGGGGAGGCTCGTCGGCGCCGGAGAGGGCGCAGGCCGCGTCCTTCTCCCGGTAGAAGGCAGGCGCCGGCCCGTAGTCGCAGGGCGCCGCCCGGCCGTAGCCGCCGCCGGCTGGCGGGTAATAGGAAGACGCCGCAAAGCCCTTGTCCTGGCCCGGTCCCGGCCCGTACGGCGCGGGGTAGTGCCGCAGCGGGTCCGCATAGCCCGACGAGTAGAGCGGCAGCTGGCCCAGGAAGGACTCCTGCCCGCTGGCCAGAGTGACGGGGAAGGTGGAGTTCACGAAATAGGAACTCATCGGGAGGGGAGGCGCGCGAGGCCGCTGCTGCTCCACCGGGTTTATGATTTGTTGTGTTTTATAGTCCGAGCGCTGCGCCTATTAGTAGTATAGCCGAGATTGGGTTTTAGCTGAGGGGGGATGGCGAGGTGCCAGTGAGGGCCAGAAGGAAATACAACCATCTGATCCAACACTGACCAATGGCAGAGGCAGGAATTGTCAAATAGCACCCAGGAGGAGCGCAGCCTGCACGAGGGACCGCGCAGAAACCTATCAACCTTTTCCCCCTCCTCTCTCTCTCTCTCTCTCTCTCTCTCTCTCTCTCTCTCTCTCTCTCTCTCTCTCTCTCTCTCTCTCTCTCTCTCTCACCTACGTAGGATCTGCGAAAGAGGCGTCTGTGCTTTTGAGGGAGGAGGAAACATTTGGATGGAAATCACCCCATTCCCCAGTGATGAAATAAATATACCCCTCCCCCTACCCCACGCAGGAATAGGGAAAAGTTAATTGTGTTTTCAGAAAAGTTAACCCCTGCATTGCATGGGCCCGGTCCCTTAAGGGAGGACTGGGTAAATGCCCACGAATCTCGTTGAGAGAGAATGAAGAGACAAGATCTGTTTCTAGGGTTTTGTACTAGCAAGGGGGAAACAGAGTTGTCCGCTAATTTGCTTCATTTTAGAAACAGGGAAAGAAGAAACATCCTCCTTTACAGGTTTGGAAAATCGTTTGTCCTCTTTATCGGGTCTGTCTTTCTCCCTTTCAAGCTTCTACTTTCCCCCTTTCAAGCTTCCCTGCTTCTACACAACTCTCAAGGTTAGAGGGGGCAAGCCAGATCCCTTTGCCTAGAGGACCCAGAAGAAATGCCAGGGGTATGTGAGCCCAAGCTTCTCCCTCTGGCTGCTCCAGTAGGAGAGTAGCTTCTGGCAAGCCGGTCCTTAAGCCCAAGACAGCTCAGCTCAGCTCAGCCTGATTGCAGTCTTGACTGGGAATGGGGCCGCAGAAAGAAACTAACAGTCCCTAAATTGGTGATGTAGCATGAAGGGGTAGGATGCACCCCGTCTATGTCACTGCATTTGTCTGCCTCTCTGTCCTGCTTCCAGCTCTCACTCTGTCTCTACTCAATCCATCCTCACCTCTCACTCCAAAATGATGTAAGAATAACCCCTGGCTACAGACCTTTAGAGTAAAGATGTCCCAGTAAATCTAGATACAGGGAAGAATTGTCCTCTTAGAAATATGAGCAGTCATGGCACACAGGCCTTTAATCCCACCACTTGGGAGGCAGAGATAGGAGGATTTCCTTGTTTTGAGACCAGCCTGGTCTACAACTGAGTTCCAGGATAGCCAGGATTACTCAGAGAAATCTTATTTTGGAAAAAGCAAAAACAAAAAACAAAGGAGTCTTCAGATCCTCATATTGCAGGTGAGAGCCTGTTGAAAAGAACCTTCAATTCCTTTTGAAATCCAATCCCAAGGCATGGCTTAGATTTAGTTTTGTAAGGAGGAAGGCTGCTAGGTCCTCCTGGGGACTCAGTAACCATCTTAACCATCTTTCAGTCCTCACCTGGCATACCCGCTCTAGCTCTCTGGATTCCCACAAGCCTTCTGTCTGCCTCTCAGCCACTCTCCAGTCTCCCTCCCATGCCTCATGCTTGTATCACCTGCTTTGCTGCTGTGAGAACTTGGGAGTAGAAGACTACACCTACGCTCTCCTGCTGTCTTCCTCTCTCAAGCTGGCGAATGCAGTATATTCCTGACATTCTTATATGCACACACAGACTAGACAGCTAAGAATAACAACATCCGTCCATCCAACCTGAATGTAGGAGGACTCGGCGTAAGATGCTGTTGGGTCAGGCCAGGCAGACCCACCTCTGCATTGTTCTTTAGGCTCCTTTTTGTGGCCCATCTCTGCGTATTGATAAAGGAAAGGGCTGAGGATGGGTGATCAAGAATGAGGATTTATTTGGCTGCAAAGTGGCCTCTGGAGCTCTTTGAACTCAAAGCAACTGATAGGCTGTCCCTTTGTGGCACAATGAGCATCCCTGGGAGTCTGTCTCTCTTAGCCTTAATCCATGGTGGGGGGATTGTCAAAGGATCTCAGACCTACTAATGATGGAGAAAGCAGAAATGCACCAATCTAGAAGTAGCTGGGCCCATACTGAGAGAGGAGTAGGGGCTGTTTCAGCAAGGGATTAGGATGCCAAAGAACATTTACACCCCCACCCCCATCTTGCATCGGAGGCTGGGCCTTGGGCCTCAGCCCTTTCCCTAGCCACAATGTCCTCATCATAGGAAAGATGGTATAATTGCCCATGTTAAAAAAATTAAAAAGGTGAGAGAAGGCCTTCTCCTGTGATAGAAGCAGGAAAATAATTGCTTTATCCTTTAGAGTAGCAGCCCCAAATTAACCTCACCTCTGCAGGTTGCCTGTCTGGAGATGGAGCCACTATGGGCAGGGCCAGGGCGCCTGGAGTCGGGCATGAAAGGAAATAGCGCCTCATCGCTCTTATCTAAGCCCAGAGGTATTTATGAGCGTTTATTCATCTGATCCGTTTGTTTGGGAAAAAGAGCAGACAGGCAGAGCTGGGCCAGAGACAGCCTGGTTTCTGGAGCCAGATCTCTACTGATCTGTCTGTGGTTCCATCCACCTCAGTTTGTCTGTCTCCACCGGGAAATATGTAAATACACAGCAGGCATCAGCCAGTTCTCCATTAGGGTTATTGCCCCCTTAACGCACTAAGGGAGGGATGTAAATATATATATACCAAGTCTAGAGTATACAGCACAGGGATTGCCCTGATACCCCATAGGCAAGATTTATAATTGTGCTTTTCTCTGCTTTGAGTTTGCAGTCCCGTGGGTAAGCACGAACATTCCAGCTCCCAGAGAAATGTTGCCTAAGTCATGCTCAGCTCAGGAGTGAAAATCTCCAGAAGGTGATGATCTTAGGAATGGCATTTGCCTGTATGAGGAGGAGGTGAGGCAATAGATAGGCTTCCTATTTCCTCTAAGATACAAAGCCTCCCCCACCCCCAGCTCCTTGGATAGTAGGTGCCTTCCCCTAACCCACACCCAACTTTACCTGGGGTGGGGTGGATGAAAATCTCTCAAACCCAATTCTCCCCCTGGATCCTGGTTGTCTGAAATGTTGCCCAGTGTTATGTGGTGGTTCCCATAAACAGTAAAGAGGCTCCTAAAATCTACTGGTCCAAATCCAGGTACAAAGACCTCATTTCCATTATGCAAATGAGCGGCATCCTCCCTGATCTTCTAGGAGTGGGCGAGGCTTCTCTCTACTGTCAATTCACCCTTACCCTAAGAGCCCCGAAGTGTTTCAAGCCTCTGGTAGCTTGACTTCCCCTCCCTATGTTTCCTTCTGATTGCCCAAAAGAAAAAAAAATTCGGGAGGGCCCCAGACCTTCCAGCCAGATCCCTCGGGGCCTCCCGCAGAGCGACTCACTAAGCTGGCCTTCCAGCCACTAGAAAGTCACTCTCTTAAACGGAAGAAAAAAGCTTAAAGATCTGCTCCAGAGAGAGGCACAGACTCCAGAGTCGTCTAGGGCGCCAGGCTGTGGCGGGAGGTGTGTGTGTGTGTGCCCCCAACACTACACAGCCTCAGTTCTCAACCAGACCTTACTGACACCTTGGCCAGCCTGACATGGCAGGCAATTTCCTGGAGTCCCCGCCCAGGAACCCGGGCCACCGCACCTTGAAAGGGATAGCCAGAGCTTCCTCTTGAAGCTTGAAAGCCCGAGCTAATCAGTAACCGGTGAGACAGGGGCCGAGACTCCAACGCTGAGGCAGAGGCGCGCACCCAGCCCTCACCACCCCCTTCTGGGAAAGCGGTTCCGTTAACCTGGTTGAGGGGTCCCACAGGAACGGAAATTAGAGAGGTTTTGGTTTTTTAATGATTTCCCCTCACTCTCGATTTTCCACCAAAGCAAAAATTTTTTGGCGTCGATTTCGCTTGACACGATAGAGAATGGGGGAGGGGACCAACACTCACTTGCAGACACCAACAGCTTCCAGAAAACTCATTTCAACTCCTTCAGCACAGACTCACCAGCTTAGGAATTGGCAAGACCCACAAACCAACTGGAAGAATACAGACTGGGTTTGTCTTTTAACAACCGAGCGGAACTGCCTGGTCGGCGCCTCCCTTGACCGGTCCCCCTCCTTTGGCTGAGAAGAAAACTAAATAAACCTTGAGCAGATTTTGGCCCCACATCTCTCCAGAGGCACAATCGTGTCTTGCGTTTTAGGTGGTGATGGGGGTCGTGGGTCTGAACTCTCAGCCCTTTGGTTCAGTACCTCCTGTCCGTGGGTTACAGTATTACTACTCCTCTTCCTCTGCCAGCCTCCAGGTTTGTGGCTGGGATGAGTGCAGGTCTGCAGACTGAGAAAAGGCTGAGGATAATGCGACAAAAGACCCATTCCGTTGTCTAATCTACACCCGGAGACTAAGACACAGTAGAGAGCATCAGCACGGGCCAGAATCCCACCGAACCGAACCGCGTCGAGGCTCCAAACAAACCCACAGGGCTCGGGGAGCATCAAGAGGCTAGCTGTGCCGGAGCCGCCTGTCCCCGAACGGACGGTAGATGGCAGCAAACTGCATAATTTGGGTCAGAGGGAATTGTCTAAGGGACGATTTATAATACACCAAGACTAAGGGGGAAAGGAGACCTTTACTTTGAGTGGGTTTGGGGGGGATTTTCCCGTCGCGAATAGGGTCCGAGCGTCCCACATGCTAGCGATTTAATTCCTCTGGCTAAGAAGCCAATGTGTCTCAGCGAGCCCAGTACAGGCCCGTGTCTAGAGCTGTTTAGCTGGCCCCCCAGGGAGCCCCAGCGCTGTGCCACAAGTGGCTGAGTTTGCCTTTCCTAATAGCTAAGGAGGCCAGTGTAGCCACTCACTTACCCTGCATGCTAAAATCCTAGACAACCAGAAGCCTGACCCGCACAGGCTTTTAAAAAACAGAAAGGCAGTCAATCTCTGTTCATGCTAACCAAACTTAATCAAAATGCCTCCTGTCCATGCCCAAAGTGACTTATCTCTCTGCGTGTAGCTTCCCTAGAGACCCCTCACCCCATTTCTTAGCCCTCACCATCGGGCCTGAACCCTATGAGCGCTTCTTTAAGAATCTGTCTCATTCAGCAGATCTTCCTCCTCCCCCTCCCCCCAGAAAGCTGGGAACCAAAATTGGGTGTGAGAGACAGGATTTAGCACTGAACTCAGTCTCCGGAGGCTTTTTCACCACACACCATAGGATTCTCTAGACAGGTTTCCTTTTCGTTTTGTATTCCTCGCCCCCCACGCCCGCCAAATTTCTTCTTGTGTATAAGCCTGAAACAGCATGCTAAAACCATTTCACAACCACCACATTTGAATCCAGGAAAGTTTAAAATGTTTCCATAGCAGATATGCAATTTTCTCCACCAAAATCCACACATCCTTTATACCAATAAAACACAAGCAACAGAATCTATCGCACATAGACCAACAGACTTTAACCTACCGCATTAAAACCACAAAACTCTCTCCCTGCCGATGAGGCTCCCTCGGGCGGCAGGGGTGGCAAGAGACCTGGGCAGTCTTCGGCTAGCTTCCTGGGGAGTCTCCCTGGCTTTGGGTTCCTTCACCCACACCACTCTAATTTCAGAAATGTCTCCGAAGGAAGGTTGCGAACATTTCTCTGTGAATTGTTCTTTTTATGTCACTCTAGCCGCCTCCTTGCCCTCGGCTGGCCTCTGCAGAGATTCCAGGCCCTACTGAGACCAAGATGTCCCTCAGCGCCACCGCCCCTCGTGCCAATGCAGCCGGGAAATCGCCGCTACCCACACTGGGCAAGAGAACCGCGCGGGGGCAGCCGGGGGAGGCCGGGAGCAGGGAGAGATGGAGGGAGGTGAGCACAAACTCACCACGGCCAGGGCGACTGGTCAGCTCGGCTGCAGCCCAGACACCCCCACCCTCTCTTCCTCAGCCCCCTCGCTGAGGCTCTCTCCCAGCTAAAAAGGCAACGTAAAACTGGCCTCCGAGGCCCCTTCCCGTCCCTCCTCCCCCCATCTTCCCTGCAGCGGCTCCCCCTCCAGGAAGCAGCCACCCCTCTCTTCACCACAGAATTTCCTGGGAAGCTCCTCACAGCAGCGCCCAGAGATGGGGTTCAACCCGGTCTTGGGGTGGGGGAGGGGGAGAAAAACCTAAGCCCCACCCCCTGCAAAAAACGATGCAAAAGAATAAGAATTGTAGAATCTCTCTTACCTTTGCAGAACTTGGGTTATTATTTTCTTCCTCCGGATTCAAATGGGTGGGGAGGGAGGGAAAAGGGAGCGTTCGGTTTCTTCTTCAGCTTCCAGATAATATTGTCCCAACCTGAGAGCCGTCGTTTCCCCCTCTCAGACTTGAGAGAAAGGTTGTTTCGCTTTTCTGATATTTGCATAGAAAATGGAGTAAGTTCTGGCTTTGAAAAATTGTATCAGGCTTCAGTCCTGGGCAGATTGTCCATTGACCCTTCATGATGACTAAAAATCCCAGATCAGCGAGCAAATTAATTTAGGAATCAAAATTATTTTTGGTTCTCTCTTTTGTGTAATTCCCTCCCCTCCTTCCCTCTCTCACTCACTCACTCTTCTCTCCTCTCCCCCCTCTCTCTTCCTCTCCCTCTCTCTTTTGCTGTATCGAACTGATATTGAGGTATAAAAATATCAAGAGGCTGGAGCCCTGAAGGACGGCGGTGCTCCGACCTAGGTGTGGTGTCCAAAAGAATGCTGCATTATAACCACCAGGGAAATGATAAAAAGTTCATGTTCACGATCGCCCGGCCACATGACCGGCGCCGGCCAATCGCTGGATTCAACCACTCATAAACTTCTATCACAAAGTTGTAAATTTTCATAAAACAACAAGGAATTTATTGCATTTCTTCATGGCTGCTCCACCAGCCACCCTTTTCTCAGTCGCCATCTTCTTTTCTTCCCCTTCTTTTTTTAGGGAAACCCCAATCTGAGACGGGGTGAGATTTGGGGTGCAAGAATTCAGGGTGGAGAAGCCACCGAGGTCCAGCTAGAACCGGGGTGTTCTCTGGAACCTCCACATTTTGCTTAAGAGCTCTGCCGGTCTTTTGTAGTAAAAATTCCCCCAGATCTTACACATGGGGCTGTCCTGAGGCAATAGGCAGGTGAGGAAGAGCAGCAGCGGGTGTTGGGTGCCGCTATCTGCATCTGGGCAAAGAGGACGCTCCTGCTCTGAACACCCGCCCCCAGTCCCAACCTCTGGGACTGTGGGATCCCCCACCTGTGAGGCTCGCAGCACTGCAGGTGTGTAGGGGGCGGGGAGGCGGCCCTCAGGGTCTAGTTTTTGCCTCCGGAGAGAAGGTGTCCTGGATGGGGGCCAAGCCCGATTAGTCTAACAAGCAGATTCTCCACCTCAGCACCCCAGAAACTGGGGGAGGAAGATGCGAGACCGCGGCCTCTCCCGCCTAAACGCCTGCTCTTCACTAGCAGAAATCCCTGCCTTCTCCAGGGGCTGCTGCGGTGGAACTGGGGAAGCCGCAGGTTTTCAGGGCCTTTCTTTACAAACTGGAGCCGCACGTTTTCAGGGCCTTTCCTTACAAACTGGAGCCGCACGTTTTCAGGGCCTTTCCTTACGAACTCAAATTAAGCATACCTTTCCGGAAACCAACCACCTTTCTCAAACCCTTTAGTTTTAAGATGGCGTCCTTTGAACAATCGAGGGTTTGTAAACGAATAAATATTAAAAAAATCAACACCGCAGGTCTAGGTGTAAAAACCCTATTGTTTAGGGTTTTGTTCAGCAATCAAGGGTTTCCAAAAATTAATAATAACTCACTCTGCTATTCCCAGGTTTCCAAAAAACAAAAACAAACCGCCTACATTTTAGGTTAGACTTCTGGTGACTTAATTCAGAAAACGAAATAATCTCCTTTTTAATTTATTTTTCTTCTCCCTCTCCTTCCCTGTGTGTGCAGCTCAGAAGGTTCCAGGTTGGCATAACTAAAGAGCAGGCTGAACATCTCGAAGAGGAAGCCCTGGCGGTTGACGCCGCCGCCAAGCTCGCTGTGGTCACCTCGGCCACCCCAGCCCGGTAAACTCGCTCGGTTCCCGCTCACGGGACTGGTTTTTTGTATAGTTTTAAAGTTTCATATGAATCACCCTTGTCAATTAAAAAATGAAATATATTTTAATACATAAACTAAAAATAAATTGAAATAAATTCAAAAAATCATGCTGACCGAAAATGTTTGCAGACTGAGTACAAGCTGTAGGCACCCTGGCAAGGAGGTTGCACTGGGCGGGCCCAAAGGCCTCTACTCGATGTCCTGGCCTCTGCCTAAACCCCTCTGGAGATGGGGTGGATCAGAGTAGTCACCCCTCGCCTCTTCCATTTGTCTTTTTCCAGGCCTACCATTTTGGATTTCATCACAATATTTGTGGCTGGACACTGGGCTCAGATTTCGTAGTCTCATTTAAAGGCCTGGATAAGAAAAAGCGTGAAACTAGAAGCTTTTAAATGGGGAGGGGTTACATTTTGGGAGTGTGTGGCTGAGCATATGGTCTCATGGATGGATTTCCTGGGGGGCAAATGTGAGTCTCTGTTTAGAATCCAATGTGCTAATGTACACTGGTGTGTATCAATGTGTCTGTGAGTGACTGTGAATGCATGTTTACTTGTGAGTGTGTGTGAATGTGAATGCATGTGTTCTGGGCATGGAGCCGGGATGGTGTGAAAGCCTGTATGTGTATTTATGAATATATGGATGTCTATGTTTATTTGTGACTGTAATAGTGTATACATTTGTGTACTGTCAGCTTGTAAATATGGGAATCGTATGCTTTGGTGAAAGTATAAAGGGAGAGAGACAGAGGTCGGGGTTCATTAGTTGGCAGTGTCTATACCAGGGGCGTATCTGGGAAATAAAAGTAAACCCAGCAGAGAGAGAAAAGACCAGTAAAAAGGCTATGAGACACCCATCCATTGCCAACCCTCACTGCCCTCCCCCCCCAGCCATAGGGAGACAGAAAGTACAGAGTCTGTTGATTTTTAATCCTGTTTTATTCTCCATCCTCCAGATATACAGAAAGAGGCTCAAGGGAACAGGTAGGAGCCAAGATCAGCAGCCTAGTGCACCAGACGCAGAAACTAGTGGTCCTCAAGGCTCCCCAAGGTCTTTTCAGTGCTGCTACTGGGAAGTATGGGGTAGGCAAGAAACCACAGTCCACAAAACAGTGCCAAAGAGGGGGTACAAAACAGCAAGATTTTACAAAGACTTTACTAGCAACATAGAAAAGGGAGGCTCATTCCAGAAAGCCTTGGAGCAGGTCGATAATGTCCTTCCCAAACTGTACAAAAACAGACAACACTCTTTCCCATAGGTAGTATTTTTTTACAGTGTTGAGAAACCCAAATTTCACCCTTCTCCTTTTTTTTAATTGCTTCGTTTAAATAGTCTTCCCTCTTATTTGAGTTTCATGCTTCAGTTCTCAGAATTGGGTTCTCCTTCTATTCTCTCTCCTCCTCTTCCGCTTTCTCTGTCCCTCACTCTTCCTCCTCCTCCTCTGCTTCTGCCTTATCCTGGCCAGTGACCCCCGGGCCTGAGGTTTTGTTCTCCTTTTTCCACTTCATGCGGCGGTTCTGAAACCAGATCTTGATCTGTCTTTCGGTGAGGCAGAGCGCGTGCGCGATCTCTATGCGCCTCCGCCGAGTCAGGTAGCGGTTGTAGTGAAATTCCTTCTCCAGCTCCAGGGTCTGGTAGCGCGTGTAGGTCTGGCGACCCCGCTTTCGGTCAGTCCCTACTCACCGTATTTAGGAGAAAGAGAAATAGCAAAAACGTAAATAATGATAATAATAATAATAATAATAAAATCAGTGTGTGAAAAACAAGAAAATTCCCACCTCCTACCTACTTAATTTGAGGTCTGAGGACAGAAAAAGACTATATTGCAGGAACCAAATTAACATTTTTCATAGTCTATCCTACATTTCATAGTACCCCCTTTCTCTGCCATCTGCAGAAAAATTTCCAAGTGTCCCAGGGCCAGCATCATTTTCTTTTCTTTTCGTGTGTGTGTGTGTGTGTGTGTGTGTGTGTGTGTGTGTCCACAAAAGATGTTTTGCTTTTCAAGCAGGGGTCTTGCTATGTAGCCTCTGGGTGGTTTCAATCTGGTAATAATCTTTCCAATTCAGCCTTCCAAGTGCCAAGAGATGGGCTTACAGGTCAGCCCCATCACACCGGATAGTCCTATCATCCATGAAGTATGGTTTTCTCAACCTGCAACTTCTGAAAGCCAGGTAGATCTCAACTGCTGGCTCCTGAAGGGTCTGTTCTAAGGGGCTAGCATAGAATGGGGGCAAATTAATCCCCACTCACTTTCTGGGGCCAGAGGCTCCAAATCTACCCTTTCCCTTTTAGATGGCCTTTGAAGTAAGGAGCTCTGGACACCATATTAGTGTCCCAGAGTGGGGACTCCAGGCCTGGCCTGAGAAGAAAAGGAAAGGAACAAAAGGACTTCTTAGGCCCAGTCTCCACCCAGACCGCCATGGAATGGGCAAGAGGCAAGAATTTATGTCCCTGGACCTTGAAATTATTACTCTAACAGCAGTTGCATTCCAATGGCTCTTTCCCAGTAAGTGTCAAGCAAGGCCTGGCTACCTGCCTGCCTTCCTGCCCAGGAACCTCATTGTCTGAATCAATCTTTGAACCTCCAGGACAGCGAGGGAGAAGGAGGATCCATGGCCTAGATGAGAGAGGAAGGGTGAAGGCTCTTGTATTGAGGCTGAAGGGTACCTGACAACTTTCAGCTTAGGCCCAGAACCTGAGGAGACTGTGGGGAGCTGTTGATATCAGCCCTCCTGGGTAGGAGACAAGAGAGAGGAGGGGCTAGAACCTTAATCTCAAGTGAGTTAAAAGTCAAGCTAAAGTGTTTATGAGGGGATGGCTTTTGTAACAGAACTAGAAAGTCAGTTCAATTACAGGGTAGGTAATAGAAACCCTCATCAGCAATACTCAGGATGTGAGTTACCACTCCTGGCCCCCAACCCTAATCGGTCTGAGAGTCTCTGACCATAGTATAGTCTTGGATCTTCTGAGCCTTGGAGTTGGCTCCCAAGTCCATCTGCCTCGAGGAAATGTAAAAAAGGATGAGTGAGGGGCCTTTGGAGGACACCTCATGAAGCCTTGGTGTCCTGTGGTTCCTAAGGCAGCTGCTGGGTAACTCGCATTCCCAGTCTTGGTTCGGTTTCATAGAGTCCTAGCCCTCCCCCAAAAGGAAAGTCATCCTTCTGGAGTGGTATCTCCATACTTGGCTGTTCCCCAGGAGTCCACGGAGTCCTAGGAAAAGCACCTGAAAAGGCTCTGCTGTCATGAGGCCTCTTTTCCAGCCCACCCTCCTAAGTCCACCAGGGGCAGGAGTCAATAGACCCATCGCTCTGGGTCTCAGATGAACTCCCTTCACCTCTCTCTGGCTCTATGTCTCTGGCTGGGTCCTCAGCTCCTCTGTACCCCCTCCTCCCGCCTGGCCTCTAGAGCCCACCTCTAATTGTCCTGTTGGGAATAATGGGGGAGCGGGGTTGGCTGGAAAGGAAGGGGGAGGGGAGAACTGCTTAGCGCCATGACCCCCTCCTCCATATCTTACTCGAGCTAGGGCTGGGGGGGACACACCCAGAACTGAGCTCTCAGGCTGGGAATGGGGCGAGGGGGGGGGGGAGAGAGACCCTAATGGCTATTCTCTGCAAACCCCAGCCTTCCTAGGCAAGACAAACGGCCTCGTCTCCAGCCCGTGCCGGCACTGCTGATAAATATTTAAAGCTAAAAGGCCCGGAGGAAAGGTTGGGGGCGGGCTGGGGGCTTTGAGCGCTGTGGCGTCGGCAAAAAGAGATCCGCCAGGACCTGAGAGCACCGAGCAAAACTGGGGGTGGGGGAGGCGCGCGGGGTCCCAGCCCAGACTTAAACGGCACGGCAATGGCCGATCTGCAGCCGGGAATATCCTGGACACGCAGAGGGATGTCCTGCGGGGGAAAGGGGACCTTCCGGGGAGTATGGCCCAGACGTTGGGGCTCGGGACTGCTGGGTGCGCGGCGTTACCTGAGCTTCGCATCCAGGGGTAGATCCGGAAGTTACTCTCAGCCGCCAAGTCCGAGTCCCTCTGCTCCTTGGCGCCAGCCGCCTTGGCGGGGTCGCCCGGACACACCCCGGAGAGGTTCTGCTCAAAGGGCGCGCAGTGCATGTTGAAGGAACTCGGTTCGAGCCCGTAGCCGGCTGCATAGACGCCGGCCGCGCTCTGGCCCGCCATGCCTCCCCCGCCGGGGTACAGTGTCTGCACCGAGGCGGAGAACGGGGCGCCCGGACCTGCTCCATAGCCCGGGCGCTGGGGGTTGGAAGCAAAGGCGCAAGAAGTTTGTTCGGGAAAGGCTCCTGGAGCGAAAACCGAACTTGCGGCTGGATATTTAGAAAATAAAGCATTCGCATAATACAATGAACTCATAATTTGGCCGGATGATTTGTAGTCAGGGACGTTTTAGTGTCGGTTTTACGAGATTCCTTGATATATTACAGAATTAGAGTCCAGATTTACACCAAAAAGGACCCCCTTTTTCCTCTCCGGACCACGTGACCTTGGCCCACGTGATATCCCCTCGGCCAATGATGCGACGGCCTCCCGGCGGCTCTCAGTAATGTGGAAAAAATTGTGTGGCGTTGGATTTATAAAATATGATCAATAATGAATGGGAAGGCCGAGCTCTGTGGATTGGGGCTGGGGGCTCAAGGGCCGCTGTCGACCCCCGCGGGCTGGAGGCAGCTTGCAGGCGTGATTTGGGGAGGAAGGAATTGAGGGGAAGGGAAAATAAATAACCTCTGAGAGATCCGTGTTGTCACCCCCCTCCCACCCATTTCCCCCAGCCGGTTAGAGAGCGAGAGACAGACACAGGGATTGAATGTTCGCAACTTGGTGGGTGGGTGCTGGCCGAGCATTTATTAATCCAGGCTAATTCATCCGGGCTGCTGCTGTTCTCCAAAGAAGAGGTGAGCCTGGCCTCCCGGTTGTCTCTTAGTGCCCCAGAGGTAGTGACTGGATGTGGATCAAGGCTTTCCTAAGGCAGGAATCCAACCCAGCAGGCATTGGACTCTGAGATTTCTGGTGACTAAAGAAATAAAAGCATTGCCAATAAAAAGATATACAAAAATAATTTAAAAAAAAAGAACGGAATGGGGGTGGGGAGAAAAAGGAAGGGAGGAGGGCGGTTTGGGTCCGGCTCGCTGCTTTCCCGGTTCCGGAAGGCGGATGCCTCACTCAGTAGAGCGTGGCTGCCTGCGTAGCAGAGGCAGCGAAGGAAGAAGGCTGCGGCAAACCGCGGCCTAGAAACCGGGAGAAAGTGGCGACGTCCCGGAGAGGGGAGGTAGGGAGCAACCTCTTCCCTCTGCTCCTACTTCCCCAACCTGAGTCCGAGAAAAATGGAAATATAAACTCAGCAGCCTACTCCATCTCCCCCATACACCCCCACCTCCCAGGACACACAAGGAAACAAAGGGAGAAGTGACAGGGGACACTAGTCACCAGCTTGGGCACATCTCTTCTCCAGAGCGGCCTGGGCGCTGGAGTCTCCCGGGCCCAGCAACTACCGAAGGCAAGGGGAGGGGGTTTCTCTTGGCTCCCCTCCCTCGATCCTCTCTCCTCCAATCACGTGCCGCCGCCTCCCCTCACCCCCTGCGCCTCTGGGCCGGGGGACTCGTACCACCTGCTTCCAACCCCCGCCCCCTCCTCCCAGAGACCTAGCCTAGGCCAGCCCTGCAGCCTGCTGACCAGCTCCCCCCCAGCCCTGCAAGGCGCCTGGGAGCGAATGAGGAGCGCCGGCCCCGGGCCAGTCTCGGGTTCTCGCTTGTAAACTTTATTGTAACTCTTCCGCCCTTTTCAGGCTCAGACAACAGAACAAAGTATAGAGGAACAACAAAATATATAATTAGCCCTCCCTCCCCCCAATAAAGCAATTCACGGATACAGGATACATTCTCTTCACAGCAAACCTAAGAACACTTTTAACAATTGCTCACAGCGCGCATGCTAACTAAAGTAATCTCTTTTGAGAAACACTTAAGACAAAATTGTCAAACCAAAGGAGGGGGGAACAGGAGGAAAAGAGAGAAGCGAGAAAGAAAGCCAGCTAGGGAGGGCAGCGGGGAGCGGGGTTGCGAGGAAAGATGGGGAAGCGGTGAGAGAGAGAAAAGAGAGAGAGAGAGAGAGAGAGAGAGAGAGAGAGAGAGAGAGAGAGAGAGAGAGAGAGAGAGAGAGAGAGAGAGAGAGAAAGTGAGAGGGAGACAGAAAGAATTACGGCGTGAATAGGCAGTTTCATGTTGTTGGGAGAACTTAGCAGAAATCGGTACCTTGGTCATTACAAAGAAGCACGTTCAAAGGAAAAAGACCATTGCACAAGGAGGCTTTTTTACATGGGGCGGGGGCGAGGGGGCTCTGGCAGGCAGCAGTCGCTCACCCTCGCGGGGCGAGGGCGTCCTTGTTTAAAATCCTTTTCTTTTTCCCCCCTGGCCCCCAAGAGAAGGGAAGGAGACCCACGGTAGCTCACACACAGAAGCTATTACGAGATACTACCACTAGCGGGGACTGGCGCGGCGGGGGACGCTGCGGTGGGAGGCCCGGCTCCTGGCTCCGCTCGCGGGGCCGGAGCTCTCGGAGGCGGGGGAGCGGGCGACAGCGGTGTGGTCGCGGGAGGGACCGGCGGACATGCGGGCAAGCCCCGGCCCAAGCAGTCCCAGCTGGAGCCTACTTCTTGTCACCCTTCTGCGCATCGCCCTGCTCGGCGGTCTCGGGCGCCCGCTCCAGCTTCTCTTTCTCCAGCTCCTCCTGCTCACATTTACTGCTGGGGAACTTGTCTTTGTTGTTCTCCTTTTTCCACTTCATTCTCCGGTTCTGGAACCAGATTTTGACCTGTCTCTCTGTCAGTCCCAGCGCGTGCGATACCTCGATCCTCCGCTTGCGAGTCAGATAGGGATTAAATAGGAACTCCTTCTCCAGCTCCAGGGTCTGGTAGCGGCTGTAGGTCTGGCGGCCTCGCCTGCGTCCGGCGGCTGCTGGGAATGGGGGAAAGGGCGAGACAGAGGGAAGGGTGGGGGAGGGGGCAGAGAAGGTTGGAAGATTCGTGAACCAGCCTAGGAGACCAGGATAATGAGGGCAGGGGACCCTTAAGCGGCGGTGGGAGGGAGCGCGCGGAGGCCGCGGTCAGCAGGGAGGGGGGGCCGAGGGGGACTAGACAGCACTGAATCTGCGGTGGCCTAAGAGGGGGAGCCCCTTCCCCTGGTAACCAGAACCAGAACGGGGGGGGGTTCAAATATATTAAAAGTGCCATAAAGTTTAGGAGGAAGGATGTAGAGTGGAATAGGAATAAAAAGCCAGAGTGGGGACCCGTGAACCCACCTTGAAAAGCCCCCAGAGCCTCTGCCCCAGAAGAAAAGTTTCTTCAGGGTAATTAAACTATAAAGCAATTGAGAAGTGCAAACGCTGAGCGCCCCCACTCCCACCACTCTTTCTCCACAGCCCCCATAAAACAGTAAAAGGGGGAGAGGGGGGAGAAGAAGAAACGTAAAGGAGGGTGAGGGGTTTATGGATTCAGGAAATTCGCCTAGCGACCCCCCCTTCAAAGGAAACAAAAAGAAAGGGGGAAAAAAAGAAAAGAAAGTGGGAAGGAAGGGAGAAGAGGTAGGTGATTGGAACGGAGCCCACGAGTCCTCTAGCAGCCGAAGATGCTCCGGGCCTGCTCACCCCCTCCCCCCGCGCCGGCCTGGGGCCCTCCAGGCCCCTTCCCACCCCGGCGGGCCGGACGGGAGCTCACCTTGAGGGCGCATCCAGGGGAAGAGCTGTGTGGGCGACGGGCTCTGCTCAGACCCCTCGGCCTCCTCGCCCAGGCCGCTGGCGGCCGCGAGCTTGCAGTCTGCGTACTGCACCAGGTCTGGATCCTGCGCACCGAACAGGCTCTGGCGCTGCAGCGGGTCGTAGCCGTAGAAGTTGCCGGGGTCCCCGTGGCAAGCCACGGCACACGGGTTCTGCTGGTAGGGAGCCGTGGACAGCGACGATGGCCCGTGGTAGAACTCTTGGATTTGCGACGGGTGCTGGAAGCTGCCGCCGCTGCTGGGACCGTACACCACGGTGGGTCGGCCGCCCAGGTCCTGGGCGAAGCCGCAGTCATAATAATTGGGGCGCAGGGACTCCCCGGTTTTGTATTTGGAGAACAGTGAGTTGACGAAATAAGAGCTCATTTTATTGAATTTTGAGGCGGCGGCAGCGGCGCAGGCTGTAGTTGGGGGCTGTTGGGGAGGGGGTGGGGAGGGGGAAAGGGAGGGAGAGAGAGAGAGAGAGAGAGAGAAAAAACGCGGATTCGCCGGCTCCTAGTCACCCTCGTCAGGAAAGGAGAGGAAAAGGGAGGAGGATGGGAAAAAAGAAAGAAGGAAGGAAGGAAAAGAAAGAAAAGGCGAAGAAGATCTCGAAGCCGCCACACTTTTTGTGATTTCCAGGAATAGAAGAGCGAAGCCTGCAAAAGTCTAAGCCTGCATGGCAGCCGCGGCTCGCTCGCCCTCCCCCCACCCCCACCCCCCAAACAAAAATATACCGCCACTTAAAGAGGTCCTCGCTTTACATTTCGAAGAAGGGATGCCAGTTCATAAACAGTTTTCGGTGATTTACTTCCCTCCAAATGAGTTGTTTCATATTTTGCCCCGTCTTTTCACCATCATTTGCATCCATTAGAGACCCCGCATCCTATTGGCTTCTGGGTACTCCTCCCGGACAGAACGCAGAGCGAGGGTGAGAGCGAGAGAGAGCGAGCGCGAGAGAGAGCTAGAGCAAGAGAGCGCCAGGGAGTGTGGAGAGGGCAGGAAAAAAAGGAGGGGAAGAGAAAAAAAAAACACCCAGGGAGAGAGGGGGAGAGGGGGGAGAGGGAGGGGGAAGAGAGAACGAGAGAACGAATACGGATTAAATCTGTTTAACTACCTACATTAATGAGATATCTCTTGCCTCACAACAAATCAAATACCTTCGCAGACCACCCCCAAAGACTGATGTGGGGGAGTCACGGAAAAACACCATGCGCACACACATCCACAACACTGCGCCTGGCATAGGCACGCTGTTAATTTCGCGATTTTAACGAGGCAATTGGAGTCTTTCTAAATGTCAGGGTCGCTTCGGAAAAATGTAAAAGAACACGGTTTAATTGCGCCGAGTTTTAAAAGGTCCTATAAATGTAATTGGTATTTTAATACAAGTTATCAAATCATACAGCTTCCTCTCCTAAACATATTTTCAAACAAACGAGGTAGTCATATTTAAAGCTTTAATGATCAATTTCCTTATTATTGATAAAGGTTTAACTATCGTGTGGAGGGAATTGGCTGGGTAACCAGCCCCCAAAAAACGGCTGTAAACTCTTTAACAAACTATAAAACGCAATAAAGCCAGAGTCTGTTGTTGTTTATGCCGCAGCGCATAAAAGCTGTTAGCATTTTACGAGTTCTTTCCTCTACAGCTATAAAACTGCAGCTTCGATCGCCCCCGCCGCCCAACTGAAGCACGGTGGGGGTGACTAAGCTGAAATGAGAGCGATTATGGGTTGCTGTGGATTTTTTTTTCTTTTCGGCGCAAACGGTGAGTTTCCTGAGATTTTTGCCTCCTTCGGTCTTGCAGACACACCTGCCCCCACGCCCTCTTTGGAGACCCCCAGATCTGTCCCCGCCCAAGTCACACACATAACTTTCCCTCGTTAAGCAATCACACAAGGATTTTTCCGGGGAAAAGGGGGTTCGTATGGGCCTGGGAGATGAAGAAGAAACTTTCTGGTTAATGGGTAATGCTGAAGCCAAGCAAAGTTCTGCGGAGGCTGCCAATTCTGCATTTACACTTTTACCTGCTGGGGGGGTGCAGGGGAAAGAGAGGGGGTCTTCTGGAGGTGCTTTGGCCTACCCGCCACTTTACAGGGAAGACTGGGGAAGGAAGGGGTCTGGTGGCATCAAATGTGGCTGCTCCACACCTGTGCTCAGATCTTGAGATCCAGTAGCCAAACCCGAGATGGGGCCAAACCCCTACCCTCCCACACAGGCCTTCCAAGTACAGACCACACAATTGCGTGAACACACCAAAAGATGTGAGAGCGGTTGACGCTGTCCTGGGCACCCAGGCCTTGCTCTTGCTGTCTCCTGCTCTCCAGTACCCCAGGCAAAGTCTGTAAGGTGTGTGTTTCAAGGTCCCTGCTCTTGCTGTGACCCCACAGACATTTGACTACCTGCCCTGACCTTGGGGTGAAGGGGCTCAGATAAAGCAAGGCCACCGAAGTCCCCATTTTTCCTTTTTCTTGGGGTTCCTTTAGTTAAACCCTGAACATCTGAAGATATGAGGCCTCAAGCCCAGAATGAGGAACCTCACTGACTGACTGCCCCACTCCAAGCACAGAGACTTTATCTGGGTCCCTGACATAAGGCTGGGGGCACTCAGACCCTGGGGAGGCCCAGTGAGAGTCAGAATCGGTCTCCTAGGTCTCCTGCGGTAGCTGATGGGCAAAAGGAAGGCAGGAAAGACAGAAAATTTCTAGAACAAAGGCAGAATCGATTTTACAAACAAACTCCCTCTGCTGCTGATTCTCTGGGAGGATTCTATTGGGGAGCTCATGAGCCCCTAACCTTAGTAAAAATGAAACCACACCGATTCCAAAGGAGCGGAACTGCCGGTTTTACTCAGCCCTCTAAAGTGAGTCCAGTGAATAAAGAGAGGGTATCGAGAAGAGGGAAAGTGAACCGCTCTGGGGTCTTGCAGGAAAGGGGGGCTGCGAGCCCACCTCAAGCAGAGTCAAGTTGTTTCGGAAGCGCACATTTTTAGCAAGTGCGGGGGATTTTATGGTCATGATTTGAGGAGTCACTGGTGAGGTAGAAATTCAATGGCTTGCTCTAAATCATCCCTTCACCGTGCCAGAAATTTCTGATGGAAGGAAAATGTTTCTGTTACAAGAAAAAACAAGAAAGAGCGCGGAGATAATTTATAAACACCCAACGGAGCGCAGATTTATTGGAGAAACTCAAGTTGAGGAGACACTCCGCTGGCCTCGTTGCACCTGGACCTGTGGAAAAGAAGAGGCTCTAGCTGGGGTCATTTCGGGGGGTGGATGGCTACTTCCTCCACCCCAGATCAAGCTGGAGGCAGGTTCCGGCTGGAGGAAACTGAAGATTGGGAACCAGCCACAGGAGTTGTTGGCAGTCAGAGCAACGGCCTCAGAACGTAAAGTCCAGGCCTCGGGCTGCGGTGTAGCAGAAGGACCGGCTTCCCCACCGATTGTAGGGGCACCAGGGACAGAGCCTGGGCAAGCGGGAGGGAGCCACGGCTCTCACCTGGAAGCCCGCAGCACGGGAAACTCTCAGGCTGCGCTCCCACAGCCGTGCCCGCCCCTGCTCCTACCCAGAACATGCTCAGGGTTTTGGTGGAGCCTCCCAAGGGACCAGGGACACCGCAGCTTTCCCTCACCCTGCCTCTCTGGGGAGACCCTGCCGGAGCCTGGGTGGCCAGGCACTGGAGCAGCCAGACCTGGATGCCTACAGAGGCTCTGGAGTCAGCGCCCAGGTACAGCAGGCCCTCTGGCTTGGGGCACCACAGAATCTTTATCAACACCAGGTTCCCATTCCCCCCAAATTTGGGGATCTACGGGATAGCACGTCGGATTCGCTCTCCAGCAGGTGTGGGCAGCCCTCCTCGGATAGCTTCCCCTTCAAGAGACCTGCGGCACGCGGGAGGGAGCCACGGCTCTCACCTGGAAGCCCCGCAGCACGGGAAACTCTCATGGCTCACCTGACCCGCTGGCCTGCATTTATTCCTCTCACCGCCACTGCAGGGGCATTTCATTTTATTAAACCAATTCGCCTCCTTGATTTGGGCCCATTATTTCAATATTTCTATTATTAATATTATCCCCGTTTTCCATGCATTTCTCGCCCCACCAAACGCAGCAAATGGGGAACAGCCTTCTTAGTATGAGAAATTCACAAAATGAACCGTTTGAGGAGAGAAACGCCACTATAATTGAAATACATACAGTAGGTAAAAGGGCCATAACAAACCCTGTATTTTTATTATGTGCAAATTATCCATGACTTTTGGTAGCTCTCAGTTCCTACGTTCCTACGTACAGGGCCGAACAAGGTGCTGCGAGGAGCCGCAGGAACCTTCAGCCACAGCAGGAAAATTTCACATGGAGCAAGGGTGCCATCTAGCGGCCACTCTGCGGAAAGATAGCCACCATCTGCTCAGCCAGGTTCTCTGTGGAACCAGCAGAGGAAGGGACAAATGATTAAACTTTCATTATCACTAGAAATAGGGGAGAGAAATGAAAGCAGATAAGAGAAAGGGCTTCAGAGTCAGGAAACTGTTCACGAAACAGTTCAGATACGTTAAAAGGAAAAGAAGTTGTGAATCCACCCAGTCCCTAATTTCTGGTGGAGACGCTAAGCAGTCACTGCTTATGGTCAGTAAGAGAAGAAACACTTTTTAAACCTTACATGATTGTTCCACATGTTGAGGGGTAACAATTGGGCTTTTTGTGAAAGATGAGAAGGTCTGGGGTGATGGAATAGAACTGGACAAGGATCAAGAGGCTACTGTCCCCCAGACGTCTGGCCCTGCTGGATGGTGTGTGTGTGTGTGTGTGTGTGTGTGTGTGTGTGTGTGTGTGTCTGCGTGTGCAAGGGTTTCTAGTTTATTCCTAGCACTTCTAGAGGGGGTGTAAAGAACAAAGACAACAGAATGTCAGTGGTTGAAGCTTTGGGGACAGCAAAGTGCTCTTCCAGCTACTGGCATCTTTACTTTTTACCCTCCAGGAGCCCCACCCCACGGCCCTGATTCCCAAGTTCCAGACCGCCAAGCCCCAGACCTGGGTACAAAATGGGTGAGGGTGGGCGCTTTGTAACAAGGCCCACCTATTCTCCCACTAAGCAGGTCGGGAGCCTAGGCTCATCCGCGGCTCATCTCCGGAAAGTTTCCCTCACTGTTTGCTTTGCTGCTGTTTAGTTTCTTAACCTTCAGAAATTTATACCCTATAAACTTTTATAGCGGTCATATTCTTTTATTGCTGCGCACACGGCATTGAATTCCTCTCCCGGATTCATTCTCTCTCTCTCTCTCTCTCTCTCTCTCTCTCTCTCTCTCTCTCTCTCTCTCTCTCTCTCTCTCTCTCTCTCTCTCTCTCTCTGAATCTCTTTTATGACAACTGATTTCCGCATCTCCGGCTTCTCTGAACCTCTGCACCTTCTCCTTTGTTCGTCTTGAAAGAAGCCACCCCGGGCTGGGGACCCAGACGCCTCTGCCCCAGGCCAGTCCAGACGCCCTAGCCTCCTACCCTACCGCGAGCCAGTCTCCAGCCTCGCTTTTCATGTTTCCTTTTGGCAGAAACTGGCTTCCTTGGCTCACTCTCTGCAGCCGGCAGAGCCTGGAGAATCAAGGATGGAGAAACAGCTCAGTCTACACCAGTTGTAAAGCCAGATTAATTTTCCTTTTTAAACATAACCCTCCTGGCAGACCGCTTGCCCCAGCTGAAGTTAGGAGCTTTCCCGTCTCCACCTCTGGTTTCTCGGACCCCCTGCCCTTTCGTTAGAGAGGGGTAGGGCCGGTCCGGCAGGTTTCTTCCACACGGACCAGCCTTTGTCGCCACACCGCAGTGTCGTCTCAGCTGCAGTGTGGCGTGTGCAGCGGGCGAGAAGCTCGTGCGAGGCCGGCGACAAATATGCAGGCCGGCTGCAGCCGGATCCTCACGACTGAATAAGAAAAGCAGAGCTTCCACGAACAGCGGCGGACACAACAGGCTGGGGGGGGGGGGCGGAATATACCGCAGTGTGAGAGGCTTCTTGAAGCCAAGTGTAATTCTGGGGTCCTTTTGGAAATGAATTATCCCCTCCCCTCCCGAAACAGTTGTGTCCACATTTGGTGGCTTTCTTTTGAGAACTGCCACACACCCTGGCCTCAACCGTTCAGACCCAGCAAACCTCAGACCAAGGCTGCTGTCCTATGAGCCCGACTCCAGGTTTTGGGGGGGAGGCATCTACAAGTAATCCTGGGCTTCAACCATTTGAGTCCTCCAAGCTTTCCGTCACCTCGGGATCTCCACCTACACCCAACCGCTGTCCTCCAGGCAACAGTATTGGGAGACTACTCCATCCCTGAAGGATGTTTTGAAGTGGTTAGCTGACAAGGGCTGCATCTCCAGGAGCTACAAGCCAGACTCTCCTTCCCTGAGTCAGTGGGGGGGGGGGGGGAGTCCACAGCAATTTTGTCTGGGTGAAGACCCTTGCTCTGGGGAGATCCATGCCCTCTCCTATGGGATTCTCTTTCCTCCTCCTCAACTCTCCCGGTTCTACTGAAAGGGTCTTGCTCCATTTAAGCAAGGTCTTGGGACTTGGGTACCCACCAGGTGTCAGGGCCACCAGAGCAAGTAGATGGCTCTGGAAGGAGGAAGCCTATGGCTGCGGACACTCAGTTGTCTTTGTTTGAAGCCGTGCTTTCGGCAACTGGGCTCTTTGCTTAATGACCAGAGGAGAAGCAGCACGGAATAAAGCGCAGCAGAGGTTTGTTTTCTAGAGTGATATATATTTTTTGTTCTTTTTCTTTTTCTTCCAAAACAAACAATTAGAGCTCTAGGCCCCTTGCCCTCCCCATTCCCACCCTCAGCCCTCCCTTATGAGCAACAACTGAAAACCATTGCCAAAGAAATCACAAAACACAAGCACAGTTTCACCACAGCCACTGACAAAGCAAAAAATAAAATAAAACTCCAAAGTTCTACTGGAATGACCTCTTTGCAGGGCCAGGAGAAGCAGGAGAAAGAGTCCACGGGTGGAAGGGATTGAGAAGCAGGGGGGGGAGAAGCAGAAGGTGAGCCTCTGCCCCGTGGAGAGGCACGATTTTGCCTCTTTCCTTTGCACACGGGACTGTGTGCCAGCATGCATCAGCTGGGTGGGCACAGCAGTGTATTCTGCAGGAGGTGAAGTCCCCATTCTGATCTCTGGGGGAAATCTTCCTTTGACCCTCTGGCTGGGTGCCAGGGGGCTCTCTTCTTCGTGGGCCAGGAAACCAGTGAAATGGGGAGAGACCCACTAGCCCTGCTCACAGAGGCCACTGCTCCTCTTGTCCTGCTCTGGAAGGGAGCTGGGAAATGGATTCACAATAAATTCTCTACCAGACTCTCCTGACCCGGCCTTCTCTAAGGTGGGGTCGACCTAGCAAGGGGTGAAGGGGCTTTATTTCTACATGAGGAGACTTGACTCACTGGTGCAAGATGGATTTAGCCAAAAGGAGAGTTGATTTTCGAGCTAGAAGGAATGGAGGAGAATTCAAGACCTGTGATCAGCAAGAAAAGCTGCAGTCTGTCAAGGGGGACGTGTGAATGGGGGAATGGCATTGTCAAGGCTCTGCGACCCAGTTTGACCTTCTTTAGTTGGAAGGAGAGGAAAACATGCAGAATTAAACACTTCCTGCAAAGAAAATATACGAGGGGGCTCCACTAAAGGTACCTTCATAAAATCCTACTCTTTTTTTTTGCCATTTTTAGCTCACAACATCTTGGGGCCTGGGTGGGCCCCATCTACCCACAGGCCCTGAGGCCTGGGGTATAGTTGGCAATTCCACAGGGTGAAGTACTCAGATGATGAGACTTTGGACTGCAGTGGCCCATTAAGGATTCTCCTTAGACATCCCACCCTGTGCCTTTTTGGACCAGGGGTTTGAATCTGACTGGATGGCTGTCCAGCTGGATTTGGTGAACACTGCACATTGGGTGTCACTTTCTCCATTATTAGTGTGGAGTCCAAACTTTATGACTATGGGCATCTGTTGGGGGTGTGTACAGTTAAACTGTTCCTGGGTGACTTCTGGTTAGGAACAGGGAGGGAACAGGCAGGTTGGAAGAGAGGGGCTGGGTTTTTCCAGAAAACTTATGGGGGGAACAGGGGAGGGGGATGCTAGGAGCTTGACTAGGGTTCTGTCTCCTGGAGGTTCATCACTTTCCTAGGAACTGACTACAGCTAGCTTCTAACTTAGCAAAACTCCCTTCTGACACCTGGGGGGGAGACAAGGACAGGCAAAGGAGGGGAGACAGGCTCCAGGTGCAGGTGAGGGACTTTAAAGAGGAGATGGCCGCCCTTCCCCACTCACTTGGACACATCACAGACAGCAGTGGCTTTGCAGCCATCCCATAAATAAGCAGAGTGAGGTAGGGAAGGGTGTGACTGGTCTTTACTCTTTGCCCTGCTCCTTATTCATTTTCTTCATTTTCATCCGCCGGTTCTGAAACCAGATTTTGACTTGTCTCTCACTCAGATTGAGGAGTCTGGCCACTTCGTGCCTGCGGTCCCTGGTGAGGTACATATTGAACAGAAACTCCTTCTCTAGCTCCAGCGTCTGATATTTGGTGTAGGGACAGCGCTTTTTCCGGGAAGAGCGGGCGTGCAGCCAGTTGGCAGAGGGGTTGGCTGAAAGAGAAGCAGTGACAGGATCAAAAGAAGGAAGGGAGTGAAGGGCCCCAGACCAAGAGGGTGCACCCCATCTCTAGTCCCTGGCTTGCACTGGAGAAAGTCACCCAGGCCTTCAAGATCCCAGAGAGCAAACCCTAGTTGTCCACGAGTTAACATAGACAGTTCCAAGTAAACAGCCCTTTAAGGGGATAGAGCCAAACAGCCAGAGCATCTCCAAAGCTTCCTCTGCCCCAAGCAGGCTCACAGCCTTTCTCCACTTGGACAGAAGAGCTCAGTATAGCTGCAGCCACACTACCGGCTAAAAGTGGCTGACCTTGGCTCTAGGTCTGGGAGGAAAAGGGCAGAATTGGGTTGAGAAGGGAGTCCTGTTCAGCCACAGCCAAGAGATCTCTTGGCTCTTCAGCCCAGTCCCAGTAAAACCTGCCTAGATAGCCATCTCTCAGCTCTAGGCCAGAAGGCAGCAGGCATGTGAATTCTGTATAGATACCCCTCCCCATCATGCACCACAAATAAGAGTCCTCATTTACAGCCAGGAACACCCAGCACACTCCCAACTCACAAGAAACCCAATTGCAATCATTTATCAATTGCAGTCCGTGGACAGGGGAGCCCCGGGGCTCCCAGATAACTTATGGTGGCAATAGTCTCTTCCTTTTTGCTACTCAGCTCACAGTTTGGTTAACACAAGTTCAGGGAAACTGGGAAGCAAAATTGCTCCAGCCCCAAGGTGGGGAGACAGAGCCGAGGCGGGTAACAGAAAGCCCTTCACAGCTTACTAAGCCTCCTAACCGACCCTGTGGGGAGGCAGAGAAAAGTGTAAATGAGTGGAAAGGGGGCAAAATGAGGAAATAATGTATACAGGCTTTTCTTTTTCTCTCCCACATCTCTCACTAGACCCCAGGACTTAGAAAAGTTGCTTCCCCAAAGTGGAGCCTATTACAAATAAGGCCCATTCTACCAGATTCTCCCTCTCCAAGTGAAAAGCCCTGAATATCTATGTATATTTTAAAATTCAGTTCAGCCTACACTAAGTAGCGTGTCTTACCAATTTGCAGCGCTATTTCCTTAATGTGATTGCCTGGGATGGGACCCGAAGCCACATTAAATATGAAAGAGGGGGAAAACTGTTAATAATTGATCCTAGCCAAATGGCTTCTGTGCAATAATGGGCTTTCCAGGCCGAGTTTGGGGCCGTGGGGTGATGGCTCTGTTTGGGTGTTTGCAGGAGATTTGGGAAGAGCTGTGTTCCGGGATATCAGCTCCAATTGACTCAACCTGGCAGGTTGGAGGTGTGGGGATTACAAAGGCCTGGGGTGGGGAGGTGAGGTTGAGTCTCTCCTTACTTTTCAGAGGGCAAGCTTGCCCCCAGAGGAGCCATTGGTGGGAAATCTGACAAGGCAAGCAAGAACTAAACTACTTGCCCAAAGGAATAAGTGGTGAGGACTTGACCTGTCAATCTGTTCGGAATTGTTTGGGAGCTAAGAACCCCCAACCGGTTTGTTTTTCCCATCCTTAAAAAACGACAAGTAAAAGAATCCTCTCAGCCAGCAGCGCTTTCCACTCGGGGGTTTTTAGCAAGGGCGCTTTTAGGAATGGGAGGTGGTAAGAAACTCTCCACCAAGAAACTCTCCGCCCCTGCGCAGTCTTCCCCCCACCCCTCCCCCGGGTCCCTTCGGGACGTCTTCTCCTCCGTTCTGGAGGTGGGCCCTGACTTTAGCAAGTGATTCCCAGACTCTCTGAGAGGAAGACTGTCCCAGCTAGTGCTCCGGAGCCCCGCGGAGAGCCTTAGGAACCGCAGAGGCAGAAGCGGCCACCCTGGCGAGGATGCCCTGGGAGGGCGGGAACCCTGGAAGGAAGGCTCCCGGGGAGGGGCCGGCGCACCCGGGAGGGGGCTCCGTCACCTCATCCTGGGCTTCCCCCGCCCCTCCCGGCGCTGGCTGCCGACCCGACGCGGCAACTGCGTGAGATCTGCTAGGAACAATCCTCAGCCAAGCTGTTGCATCGCAAATAAAATCCTAATGAGCCCCCTCCCCCTTCCCCTTGGCCGGAGGGGACCGTCTGCCGGGTGCGCTCCGGCCCGTGCCCGCGAGGGCTCTCGGCCATGCTGGCCACCGGCCCGGCCCCCTCGTTCCTCAAGCAACTGTCGCAGCTCTTTTTCCCCCTTTCCAGCCGGAGCACGGGAGAAAAAGGAGGAAGGACTAGAGACTTGGTCCCTGAGGCTCAGTCCATGCGCCACTAGGAGGAGTAGGGGTGGCCTCAGTGTCCCCCTCCACTGCACACAGCCTCTTCCTATCCAGGTCCCTTCCTTCCTCTTCCTTCCACCCCCTAGAGCCCTTGCAGCCCCCGGCGCGCTGTCCCTTCACATTGTCTGCTTTATGGCCTCTCTCCTCCCCTCCCCCGGGCCTGGCCTGCAGCCTGGGGGGGATTTCCTCACTTTTTTTTTTATAACTTACTTTGATCCGGCCTCTCTTTGTCCTCGCTTCCTTCGCAAATTTTATTGTCCCCGTAGCCGGCTCTTTGATTAGACAGGACAGCCTCCCTGCCCGCCGAAGTTTCCAAACTGTACTCGGGCGTGCCCTGTTTGAGCAGCTCCCCCGGCGCGCCCAGCAGCGGCTCCGCCTTCACCGCTGCCTGGCCCTGCCCCGGGGTGGCCTCGGCGCGCGGCGCGGGCTCCAGCCAGGTGCGGAGGTACCTGCTCTCTGCCGCCGGCGCGCCTTGGGGCTGCAGGTAGGGGTGGTAGACCGACGGCAGGCTCCCCGACGCGTGCGGGCTCAGCGGCGCCCAGGAGGCGCCGAACACCGGCGCTTTGGGCTGGAAGCTGCACGAGGGGAAGTCCAGGTGCTCGGCGTGGCTCGGCGGCCGCGGGTTCGCGTACTGGCCCGAAGGAAACTTGGCTGGAGGCGCGTCCTCACTCTCGTGACTTATGATCGAGTCGACATAATAGCTGCTAAGCGTCCCAGAAATGGACATTCTCAGACATTATCCGCACGCTCGCAGGGGGGAAGGGAAGCGCTCGCGCCTCGGCGCCCAAGCAGGGAGAGGTGGCACACGGACCCGGTGTAGAGGGCTTTCGGACGCGACCCCCCCAGACCCCCACCCTCCCACCCCCACCCCCTGCTCAACTTCTCAGCCAACAAAGTACAGTGGAGCAGCCCGGCTCGAAGCTCCTTGCAAAATGATTGGTCAAAGTTTTGCGGACTGCCTGATAAAGCGTCAGCTCCGACATAAATCAATCGGGCGAGGGGGCTGCGCTCGCGCTGTCATCCGTCCTCACCGCATTCCATATCCAGGATGGATTGTTTTATGCTGATGCAATGTGCTATCACGTCAGGGCTCCGGCGGCCACGTAACCTCAGCCAGAGCTATCGGGCTGCCCGGGGCCCCTCCCGCTTTTGCAGGAAGGGGGGGTTCTCAACATGGGGCGATGGGGGCGGAGGAGAGGCGGAGGCAAGCAGCGGGCTTGCCTCTGGAGAAACGACGGCTGCGGAGCCCTCTCCCCAGGCGGGTTAGAGAGGGAGGGGAGGAGAGCGCCCCAGCCTCAGAGCAGCGGGAGAGGCCCGACAGGGTAATTAAAGAGGAGGTAGTCTTGTCACCCCCCCCAACACCTCCACCTCCACCCCGCAGGCCCTCATTTCCTGTCCTCTGTCCCCTTGACAGAGATGTTTATTAAACAACAGCAGCACAGCGACCCACAGGAGATAGAGTAAAAGGATGGGGAAGAAGTTGGGGTTTTATAGGACAGTTATCCTCGTTGGAGGGGATTCAGGGCACAATTTAGGGAGATTTACATGACTAGGCTCTTCTCTTGATCCTTCAGGAGCTAAGAGAGGAGAAAGGGGAATTCAGTGGGACTAGTGTCCAGAGAATTACTATCTGGCCTGAAATTAGAGCCTGCCTCTGGCCAAAGGGACTCGCCTGACCCTGTAACTAGTCTACGAAAGAGTTTCACGGGACTAACCATCTTATTTAACTCCTTGAAATTTCTTGGGCCTTTATGAAAGGCTGGGTCCACGGTCATTTCTTCTGTCCTTCATCCAGAATCCTCTGAGACTGTAAAACTGTCCAAATGAGGGGGCTAATGTGAGAAATGATTAAAGGAGCTCTCCAGAGGTAGGGACAGGGTCCCCAAACAGCACAGTAAGCGATACCGGGTTACTTTCCTTTCCTTCCAAAAAGGGAAGGAGGCAAGCTAAATTCTTAGTACTCATGTCCAGCTCTGGAAGATGTCCAAATGCCGACATAGGACAGTACCAAGTACAGCGGAGTCCCCAGAATCAGCCCGCTCCCCCACCGGCAGCCTTCCCCCCTACAATCCTCTCGTGGAGCTTCCAAATAGTGCATTTTATTAGCAGCTATTCTGCGGCCCTGCGTAGGGACTCCCCCGAGGCCAATGGCTGGCTTCCTGGCGGCTCTCCCAGCTACTGTCTCTGCAGCTTCTGCTTGGGTGCAGACGCCCCCCTCTCCCCCGGGTGTGGGGCTCTGGGAGGACCAGCTCCTAGACAGGCTTGGTTTCCTCGGGTTAGGTGTAGGGAAAGATTTCTTGGCTGTTCTCTGACTCTGGACCGTTATTAGGGAGACTGCTCCGCGAGCCATGACCTCCTCCTTACCTTCCTCTCCTTTCAGAAAAAAAGTGGAACCATTCTAACTTGAGTTGATACCTTTTTGGCCACTACCCCTCTGCCCAGTGGAAGGCTGCGGATCATCTCCGCAGACACACACACTCCCGCCCGCTTGTCTTTCCAAATGAAGCCATCTCGTGTCATTACGTGTGAAATACGAGGGCGAAGCGCCATATTTCTTCACATTATAGCGATTTCAAAATGATTTTTTAAAGATCAATGCGGGCGCCCAGCCGGCCCCTTCAATTCCACCCACGCTCTTGGAGAGAGACACAGCCCAGCAGATCCGGAACCAAACAGCGTGAAGACCTGTTTTTTTCCATAGTATCCAAATGGGGAAACAAATCCGATGCAAATTCTTCTAAGTAGCGGTTGGAGGCTTGGGAAAGTCAAGGGAGCTTCCTGGACCTGCCAGCGAGAAGCTGGGCCTGGAGCGAATGAATCCCGTTCAGGGCAAAGCACCTGTCCTTGCTTTGGTAGACATGGAGCCTGCTACCAGTTTTACCTGTAATAAATATAGTCTTCAGGCAAAAAAAAAATCCCCCGTCATAAATAACAGCGTTATGAAGCATGTCGAGGTGGGTATGATTTTCTGTAGTATATAAATTAGGGCCCAAAAGGACACATGAGCTGTGGGGCTGGGGCATTTTTATTTATGGAAAAGCCATAGAACAAGGCTGTTTTTAAGACCCAAGCTGTGCAGGCTCTGGACTCTGCCTGCTGCCCTCTTGGCTCCCATTCCTCTCCTGGGCTTTGCTGTAGACTCTCCCAAGGAGAGAGGAGTCAAGGGGCCCTTCAGTAGGGGAAAAGTCAGAGGAAGTACTTTTGGGCTCCTAGCTTGTACCCTGCAAGAATGAGATAATCCATTTGAATTTAGATTTGTGCATTCTAACTGCCTAAGGAGTTGTCCTTAACCCCTGGTGGCTCCCAGTGTTGGGTAAAGAGGAAAACCCTGGCCTCTTTCTGAGTCAGAAGCAGTTTTGTATTTGCTCAAGATTCTGGAGGGTAAGAGCAGTGTGGAGGAGACAGGTTTGGATCTGTCTTCTCTAGAGAAGTGATTTTAGAGGGCAGAGAAGGAACTTTTGCCCTCATCTCTGGAGTCTGTAGCTTCTCACCTCTCTGCAGGTGAAGATGCAGCAGCAGCAAGCAGGGAGGCTCACTCACCTTTGCCAGCAAGCTTTCCAGAAGGGTTTGCTGCCCCAAACTGGAGTTCAACTTCAACAGAGGCAAATGGCAAAATGGTCATCAGGGTGGGTGCCCTCTTGCTGGGATGCTCTGTGAACCCATGGATCCCTTAAATCTTCCTTCCTTCCTTCCTTCCTTCCTTCCTTCCTTCCTTCCTTCCTTCCTTCCTTCCTAGGCAATGGTACCTTCCATGCCAGAGCAGAGCACCCAGAATTGTGACCCCTGGAACTCAGAGTCTAAAGGTACTGAATAAAAGTGACACTACAGTGGGGTCACTTTTTCCAGAGGGCAAAACTACTCTGCACCCTGCCCCCAATCCTAAGCAGAAAGAAAGAAAATCCTGTGATCTCTGCAGTCTCTTGTCATTTCTTACATTGGAGTCTTGGCTGGAAGCGTGTAAAAAGCAGGGAGGAGGAAGGCAAAGGCCCTGATCATGCTGGGGCCCTGGCAGCCAAGGAAGAGCAGAAGACAGAGGCTGACTGGAACCAGCCGAACCAGCCGGTAAGTGTCTGTTCTTTGGTACAGTTTGGTACAGTTTTTGGTGTGTGTGTGTGTGTGTGTGTGTGTGTGTGTGTGTGGTATCTCTGTCAGTAACAAGAGAAAATCTAGGGGTTGAAAAGGGACAAGGGGGGAGGAAAACAGTAAATGAGAAAATAATTTGTGTTTAAATAATAAACTAAAGCTGAAGTTGATGCAGCTGGATTTGAGTAGGTATTTCTCCTGCATGTCTGTCTCAAACCAATGTTTCTGTAGGGGAGCCTAGTGTTCAAGTATGTTCTATTCCATATTTGTACAGTACATGTAAGTACCTTCCCAGCTGTAATTCTAGATGTGCCTGGACACAAACATTTATGATCTAATTGTGTTTATGTGGTTATATGTATGACCCCTTCGAATAATGTAGATTAATGGTGATTCTGTTCCTGATTTTAAAAATATGACCCCAAAGCTGGTGTGCACATTGGAAAATCAAAAACCAAACACACCTGTGAAGAAGACAAAATCCTGGATATTAATGCTCCTAAATTTTGGTTATAAAATATTAACTGATATGGAAGTCTTGCTTGAAATCTTGTCTCTTAATTTAGTATTCAAGCAAAATTCGTATTACATCTTCAAATAGATGTGTGTGACTTAAAGCTGGATTCAATTATGGTGTCCTACCGGGAACATATTCCTGGACAGTGAAGGCAATACCTCCAACTGACCCAGAAGGGGTCATGAAATTTGGTGACTTTTGTTATCCAACCATGAAATCCTTTACTGCGTATCTTGCCCCAACTGGCAGGGACAGCATGCTCTGTGTGATACTTATTTCATGGCAGTGATGGACACAGGGGTGGAAATAGCATCACTTGCAAGTGTAAGGTAAAGTAGAGAAACAGAGCGTGACCGTCCTCAGATAACTGTGGAGGTCTTGCCAACATACTGCTGCATACAACCAAATTGTTCAAGTCCCCTATCTCTGTCCCCCAGCAGTGGAGACATTTCTTCTGACCTCCAGGATTAGAGCCCGACCTACTCTGGGATACAGTGACTTTTGAAGATACTTGTTCCCTTAGACACTAGAGGGGAAGCCAAGATCCCAGAACCCACACCCTTTATCCAGAATAGCCTTCAAACAGGGGTCACCAATCCGTACACTGGGGCTCAAACCTGGGTGCTTCCACAGCTCCAAGCAGGGACCTTAATTGGAAAGTAACCTCTGACAAACTTCCCTCATAGGATGACAAAGGTCGGTGGCCCCACTGGACCTGATGAGTTTTCATCCCAGCCACCATGGCTATCCAAGGCAGTGGGAGGTGGTGGAGTCCTTTGGGAGGAGGCATTGAGGAGGCCAAACGGGTGGGCAGCAGGCAGAACGGAAAGGGCTGAGCAGGTAGAAAGTCATTACACAATTGCTTCCATAAAACCTTTGGCTGTTGTAAAAGTCTCTGCTTTCCAAAGACTTTATTTTCTCCTTTCTCTCTGACATCCCCTTTTTTCTTTCTTTCTTTTTTTACAGCGCCTTTCCTGGGAGGAAGTGGCCAGGGTGGGGAACCAAGGGTTAGAATATGGTCTTGCTCCTAATGCCAGGGCAGGTCTCTAAGAATTCCAAAGAGAAGTAAGGTAAGGCAGGAACATTTCCAGACCCTTTCGGCCCACAGGGGAGGAAAATGATAAAGGACAGAGTTTAGGGCCTTTCCTCATCAGGACAGTGACTTGAAGCCAGAATGTCCTCTGCTCTGGGAGTGGGTCTCCCGTGCTCTCTGCCTCTTGTTCCCCCCCCCCCACGGTCTAAATAAGCCTGGCGCCGCCGGAGTCCCATCCGGTTGGGGCCTCCTTCCTGGGCCCCTCTGCACATTTCCTCTGCCTCGAGCAGGGAAAGAGAGTTTAGGAACAAAAGTTAGCCTATGCATTGGCAAGTCCTCCTTCCAGCAGCATGCCTAAGAACTCCTTTCCTGGGCACATAGCCAGCAGGAGCCTTGAAGGGTTGGGGTCAGAGAGGACAAAACTGACTTGCCCTGTGGAGGCTTCAGCCCCACCATTATACCAGGCAGTGCTGAATGCTCTCATAGCTTAGATTCTCCTGCTGGTTAGAGCCAAGGGGCCCCCAGTACTTGTGTGAACCCACAACCAGTTCAGGCAGAGGGTAAAGGGCCAGGCAGTTTGGGAGAGGAAGCCCCCCCCCCCACATACCACCTCTAGAAGTCCTGTCCCACTAGAGGGCCCTAGGAGGGACTCCGATGGTCTCCAGTCTTGAGATGCAGATGATCCTGATAATTTCTCTATCAATTGGGACCTATTGGCCCCTTAGAGGTGCTTCAAACTTTTGCTTAGGTAAAACCACCATCATCCAAAGGTTACAAACCAAATCCATGCAGCTGAGGAATCTTTCAGGGATTCTGACTGTAGACAGGAACCTACAGATGCCTACAACTGGAAACCCTGGCTTTAACTTCAATCCCTGACTTTTGAAAAGAGCTCACTCAGCCCCTGCCCTCCCTGAAGGTGCATTTGGAGAGAAGAATACTCACATTCCTACCTCTCTCTTCTCCCTCTCTCTCTCTTGCAAAGAGATACCCTAGAATGCCCCAGATTTCTTCTTGAAGAACTTCTCTGGCTGTTCCCAGATGAGGAACTTCAAACCTGTTTCTTATTTTTGCAAAGGTCACACCCGGCCAGAGCCCTCGAGCTAAGCGAGAAGCAGTAACTGCCGTGAATCAGGCGGTTGAATGTCGTTGTGTTCAGAAAGCCAGGCCCAACAACACGAAACTACCTAATTCACTCAGCAGTCCCAGTTCAAGCTCCAAGTCAAGGGCTCACTGGGGCGGGTCCCTAAGACCCTCTTGTGAGTCCTAATGGCCGCAAACTTACTCCCTCTACCTAACTTGTTGTCTTCTGGTTTTTCCTAACAGAGCCCAGTTGCTAGTAAACAAAGGATCTGAAGAACTGGACCCAGGATTCCAGGAACTTCACTTCTCCTTCCAGAATCCTGGCCAAAGAAGGCCATGGGCCCAGCTCTAAGCCTGGCCAGGGCCTCTGTGCCATACCTTCTTGATTTCTCAGCACAGACCGACAGCGGCTGGAGGGCTACCCAGATGAAAAGGGTTCTTGACTTCAAACTGCTAGGAAGGTTCACATACACTCACCATCTGGCCAGTCCCTGGGCTGCAGGCTTACCCAGACTCCAGGGCAGCTCTGAGAGGTCAAATCTTCCAACTGTGCACCAAACCCAGCCTTGAGATGGGGGAGTAGACAGGAGAGCATAGCCAAGTAGAACTGAGAAAGAAAGTGGCAGAAAGTCAGAGTCAGAAAGAATCCGGAATTCTAGGCCACAAACGGTAGGGCTGGAAGAGGGCAGTAGGCTGGCTTGAACAGTCGCTCTGCTGAAACATGCTAAGATCCTGACTTCACAGAGGCTGACCAGCCCAAAGAAGGGGGATATCGAGAACCTAGCTTGTGCAGGCAGAGGACGAGTTAGCTTCCTCCTTGTCCAGTTCCTACTCTCCTCCATCCCACATGCGCACATCCTCACAGGTGCTCAGGCCGCACATCCAGCAACCAACAGAGGCCTCTCGGACACTTACCTGAGCCGGTGAGGCAGCTGCACCGAGCACGCTAGAGAGCCAGTCGGACCCGGCTCCCTCCCTCCCTGTGCCCGCGTGGCTTTGTGTCGGGTGTGGAAGTCCGAGGTAAGGAGGGAGTGTGCCTGGCTATCGGTTTCCCCTCCGGAGCGTAAATCTTGGGGACCGGATATACAATAAAACTTCACCTTGCTGATGAACTTCAAACAGTTTATATCCCCTCTTGTCCTAAAGAGAAACACAGCCAGGGGCGGATAAAAGGGAAAGGAAACAATTTACGAGCCGAAGGAGTTTGCACAGACTCTGTCCGAGTGGAGAGAAGTGGTGTCCCGGTGCCCTACTCTCTATCCCGTAGCCAGAACTGGAAACTAACGCCTAACCTGGGCCTCTAGAGCCCAGAGCACAGCCAAGCGCTCTGGATGCGGCTCCTAGCAACCTGCCTAGGCAGAGCTGGGCTTCCTGAACTCCTCGCCACAAGCCCAGTCCGGTGTTACTCACTCCCTGTGCTGTCTGTCTGTTTGATGCGGGTTTTAGGGTTTTTGTTTTGCTCTGGGGCTTCCAGACCTTTGCCCTGCCCCGCCTGTTTATTGTCAGGTACTTGCTAGCACAGGGGATAAGACTTTGAAAACTTTCAAGGCCTGATAGGGGCTGAGCAGTGATGGGCTCTAGAGGAGAAACCCGCGGGGCCTCCTTGAGTAGAGGGTAAAAGTGACCACTCACAGTGGTGTCTAGTCTCTCCCCCCCTCCCGCCTCCCTCTCCCCCCCCCCCCGTCCCGAGTTTCGCCACTTGCTTCTGTGCTTTTAAAAGCTTCAAAACCAATTCAAAATAACCGCTAAGTGGACCTCAACTTGCCAGAGCTCTTTCTGCTGTGTACAGTTTTTTTTTTTTTCAAAATTTCGTGGAATCCGGATTTGCTACCAGGGCACTGCAGCAAAACTAAATAGAAAGGGGGAAAAAACAAGCAAACAAACAAAAAACCTCTCTCCAGGGGCTCCAGAGACCCAGGAGTCAGGTAGTGGCTTCTTACCCTCTTTGTCTACCTGGAGTACATGGTTAGGTAATTTAGGGGGGCAGCAAAAGGATTCCATGCATCCCAATTATTCATCAACAAACACCAATGCTTCAGGTCTAAAATGCACTTGAAAGGCTGCGATTACCTCAGGCTCTGCTCAGGTACTGGGCTAATGCTCAGCTGCAGGCCCAGGAGGGTATCCAGCCCCACAGACACACAGGTGCAGCCCCAACCCAGCCAACTCATTTCCTCCCTCCAGGAAGCATTGCCAAAGCTCTGCTGGAGATTTTTTTAATGAAAATTTTAAGATGGGCTCAGAAAACATCAAATTGTTTCCCATCATTAAAAACAAACAAACAAACAAAAAACTCTGAGCAGCTGAATTGGCTGCCCCATTCTGCCCGAGATTGGCCAGGGGTGAGCAGCAGTATGGTGGTGTGGTGTGCCCTATGTAGGACCTTATATTTATCAAATATAAATATTTTCCGAAAATGACATGAGGAGATCCCTGCAGCTCCATGCATCATGTGCGATCCCTTGTTTCGGTTCCCACTATACTCTATTTCTACTGAAAATACTGTGCAGGTCCGCTGCCCTGCCTGTGGAACCTTCTATTAGCATTTCCCTCCGGGAAGACACAGAGGAGGGAGGAAGGAGGACAGAGAGGCCAGTGACTCTCGAGATACTTGGAACTATTATTTTTTCTATCTTCAGCAGAGCTGCCTGGTCAGGGACAACCATAACCAAAGATTAGTGTGCTGGCTCCCAGCCCACTGCTGGTCTGGTCTCTATGACTGAGGAAAGCAGTTCTTTGGGAACTGGAAGAGGCTACAGCTTTGGCACAGCAAGACTGCATGCATACACAAGCATGCTGTGTTTTCAGAGGCTGGGCAGCTTCTCCTACTCTCAGCTCCAGAACTCAGGCCATTGAGCTCAGTTTCAAAAAGAAATCTACATGGACCCAAAGGACACCACCTCAAATCCGTCTCCCAGATGCCAAGCTATTTTCTTAAAAGGTCACCTTTACCTCAGCACAGACTCCCCTGGGCAGGGCTACTTGGTGTCTTTCAAGTACCCCTCTGACTGTTGCTGGACACTAGTGGAGGCAACTAAGTAAATGCTATTTGGACAGTTCTTCGTATTACCCCTCAGGTATTTTCCATTTTTCCCCAAAACACATCCATCTCCAAACTATTTAAAAATCCTATAGCCAAGCTATAAGAGGCAAGAGTAAATTTCCACAGTCCTTTTTTTTCTTCCAGAAGTTAAAAGCATAGTCCTAGCATGAACAGAAGACGGAGCCAAGTCTGAGCAATCTGAGTAATGAGAAGAAGCAGTGCAGATATAGACACAGAATCTAAGTTCCTTAAAAGGAACTGACATGTTGAAACTCTTTCACTTAGAGTCACAAGGATAGATATTTCTTTGAAATTCCTGGTCCCTTTCTCTTCCTAAAGTTCATTATAGAGTAGAGAAGGGGCAGTTTCTGACACATCAAGGATGCCAGAAGCCAAGTCTCTGATCCAAGCTGGAATTTTGTTTTGTTTTGTTTTTGCAATCTGGCAGTGTGGCTTGGACAAGCAACTGTGTGGTCGGTTAGTGAGCGAGACCGAGCACTCGACCGACCTCTAGGCGGCGCCCTGGCGTTGAATCAGCTCGCAGCCAGATCCTCTTCGAAGCTCCGCGTCCAGTGCAGGGTCTGAAGGGACAGGTTCCTGCGGACGCCACGGGCCTCTTGGCTTAGAGCTGGCCGCCAGCGCGTCGTCTTTGGCGCCCTCTGCCAAGCAAAAGAAACAAGATTAAAGAGTGCTAGCTGGGAAAGGATTGGACAGCTAAGAAAGGCTCCACCAGTTCCCCAGCCCCCACCCCTACTCAGATCTGCAACGGTGGGGAGTCTTCCACTGCGGAATCTCCTTTGATCTCTCCTGCAGCCCGCTACAGCGCAGCGCCAGCATCTTTACGTTGCCCCCGAAGTCTGGAGAAATTAAGTAGTAAGCCCAAGATGGGAGCAAAAATTAAGAATAATTGAGCAGGGCTGGAGAACGTTCCCTCTACTCTAAAGCGAATGTTCTATTCCAAATAACCATCAGTCATGCCAACAAACGTAGTGACTTTCTTTTAACATAATTCCGTTCATTTCCTGAATGACAACCTTTAGAAGTTGTCTTTGTTGCAAATTTGGGGTTTCCTGGGCTTCAGAATTGGCTCAATCTATAAGAACATTGGAAGTGAAGATAGGGGAAACTCAGCTAAGAGTCCCGAGTCAAGGTGCAGTGGTGCATGCCTTTAATCCCAGCAACGGGAGGCAGAGACAGGAGGATCACTGTGAGTTCGAGGCCAGCCTGGTCTACAGAGCAAGTGCCAGGACAGCCAAGGCTACACGGAAAAACCCTGTCTAGAAAAACAAAACCAACAAACAAAACTTTGACTTAGTCAGAGCTAAGTCAAACCCCTGCCCCCCACAGGAAATGGCCGATTTATAACCTTCTTGACTGAGTGATACTGGATCAAAAGCCCAAAAGAAAAAGACCTATTGGACAGGGAAGTGGAGTTTGAAAACCTTGTGAAACCAAAAGAAGGTGTCAGATGCGTGAATGTTTCACACACCCCAAAGACAGAGAGCATCAGAACCACAAATGCTCTAGGTGGGGCAAAGAAAGCTTTATGCAGAACTCTGGCCCTGTGAGACTGAGCTCAGATCCTACACAGACCTGAGAAGTGTGAGGCAGGAAAAATCAAACCTTCTGTTCCCCTTCCCGGCTGACAGAGTGACCATTTTTCTGGAACCATCTGCCAAAGTTATTCCTAAGGCAGACACTCAAAGAATCCCAGCAGAGAGGGAAGGGAAGAGAGGAGTGAGGGAGTCCTTGAACAGGGCAGCAAGGACCAACTATGGGACAGACTGTGGCCCAGTGCCTTCCGAGGTCTCCAGTCCCAGGGGATGCACGTTTCCCAGCCGGGCACCAGCTCTCATGGACGTCTAATTACCGTGCGCACATCTGGAACAGCTGCGCCCCACCCGGCCTCGGGCACATTATTTCTCTCTAAACCCTATTTTCATTCCCAAGGCTGAGTCATAAAAGACTCTGGAGGCAGAATAAAGTCGGGTCTGTGTGTGTCAGCATTCCTGTGTGTGAGTGCGTGAGTGCGAGCGCGTCCACGTGCAGCGTCTGGCGTCTGTGCGTCTCACTGTGATTGCCCAATGGATTTGCAAAAGTTAGGGGGGGGAAATGGAGCGACATCAGGCGAATTCAACTGCGAACATACTGCGAGCCTCATTATCTGCCCATTTCAAGGGAAAGCATTTGGGTCTTAGAATTAGCCAGTTAATTGTCCCACTTCTTTGTTCATTTCAGGGCAGGGGAAACTATCTGCCTTCTAGTAAAACATTGTATATTTCAAAACTTGAAGATCTCAGTTTTATTTCCATCCTGTTATATCCTGGAACATTAGGATTTTCCAGGATACATTCTCTCTCTCTCTCTCTCTCTCCCCCCCCCCTGTGTCTCTGATCTCTATCTCTCTATGTCTCTGTCTCTCTCTCACACACACTGAGTGAAAAAAAAAAACTTCCTTTATGCATCTTCAAAAAAGCTGGATGCCTTAGATAATAATTAATGTACTGTGTGTCTGGGATTT